ATTGGCATTTCCGTTAACAACTTGAAAGACTCCCAGGTCGTCTAACTTGACCATAATTTGTTTATTGTGTCGAGCAAAGTGCCCTTCCTTTGTGCAGCACTTAAAACAAATATTTTTTTTTTTTCATTTTTATAAAAAAAATCTGCTCCAAAAGCCACTTTTTGTTGCTCCGAAACACTGTTTTGGCTGCTCCAAAAGCCACTTTTGCTGCTCCAAAACACTGTTTTGGCTGCTCCAAAGGCCACTTTTGCTGCTCCAAAACAATGTTTTGGCTGCTCCAAAAGGTGCTCCAAAACGGCTTAGGCCAATCACATCACTGGAAATGGCATTCTTTTGGTATATGGACAATAGCAATATTTTTTTTCATTTTTTTTTTCATGCTGATGGGTTTGACACAATTTGGGGGCCCTCTGTGGTCGTTGGGTGCAATGACGAGGTCACTTCGTTACTGTTCATAGAACTCAACTTTGAGGCAATGTCTTTATAGAAAAAATATGTCTATCACTTTGTAAATTGTTCCCATCCTGCATAACTCTGGACTTCTGCTTCTTCATTCCTATTGGTGTCTGTAATATATATGAATTTTGTACATATCCTTTTGTGTTCCCCACAGGACCTTCAGAGTAGAACCGTAAATACTAAATTTAAAAGCTTGATCGCTTAAGTCTTGTGTGGATTTATCTCAGCATCTGTTAGTTTTGCAGTGAACTTTTCTCCCGTGAGCTTCTCGGTGTTGCGCTGTTCTGCGGCGGAGAAAAGCTCACAGAAATCTAGTGGATGCGGAGGAGATCGAGCTCACCAGACTTTTGATAGATACGAAGACAAGCTCACCAATTTACAAACCGATCTAACATTATTTCTTTGAAGCTCTCAATATTTTATCGAACTATGTTTTATCAAAGTTATGTAATTGAACGCTATTAATTCAACCCAATTTCATCGAGGCTGCTTCGTAGAACGCCATTTTATCGAACATGATGGGTTCTGGCCGGATCGTTTCTCGTTTTTTTTTTCTAAATAGTGTTTTTTCTTTGCATCCAAAGGATAAAGTTATTTTCACGAATGAAATGATAAGGCGGCGAATAACTGGAAAAACTAAACGTTTAATCGGGCAAACAAAATAGAAGGTTAGCGTCGCAGGCGTCGATTTTGGCGAAACAGCAGGATAGAGTTCGGAAATTAAAAACAGCGCGGAAAGACGAGGACCAGACAAAGAAGTGACACGGACGTAGCAGCGCTACGTCCGTGTCACTTCTTTGTCTGGTCCTCGTCTTTCCGCGCTGTTTTTAATTTCCGAAGTATGTACCAACTCGCCCAAGCCTCAACTTTAGCAGGATAGAGACTGACTATGGCTCGCCACGTGGAGCCCCTTATGTGCACGCGTGGGCTTCTGGAACAATTGGCGTAGAAGGTTCGGCGTGAAGAACATCCTAACCTCGAATAAGCAGCAGGGTTCTAGAATTTACCAGGACGTGACATTACAGAAACAATAAAAAAGTGTATCTGTGGCCTGGCATCAAACCTCGGCTATTTGCGTGGAAGGCAAGCACGGTAACCGTTAGGCCACGGGCACGCTGCCTACCTGGCCAGCTGCACACGCGGCAATATTATGTTCAGTTTTTCTTTTGTTTCATAATAAACAATAACCTCTTTCGGTGATGTGGCCTAAGATGAACTTGATACTTTTGGGAGGTCAGGAGTCGTTGGGTGCCGAGATGGAGGTCACGTTGTGGCTGTTCATAGTACTCAACTTTGAGGCAATGTCCTGTCTCCATGTAAAAGTTAACAGAAAAAAAAAAAAAAAAAAAAAACATGTTCCCCACTTTTTTAATTGTTTGCATTCTGCAAAAAAGGTAATTCGTGTGCCTCTTCCCTATTTTTCTTAGAAAGAAAGCTTTTCTTCTGGGACTTAACAAGAACACTTGGTTTTACAAATATACGAACACACAAAAAGCGCAGTATGAGCGGTGAGCAAAGCACGGACGTGAGGTTTAAGTGCCGTTCACACTGGTGTCTCTAGGTCTTACTCGGTCGCAAGAGTATGAACGGGCCTTTAAATATAAACACCGCAGTGCGAACAATGCCGAGAGTATTAAATTTAAAATGTTGAATAAAATATTTCGTAAATGAGCTTTTCTCTGCATTTGTTGGTTTTGCGGTAAGCATTTCACCGGTGAGCTTTTTTCCGCCGCCTGTTTTCCGGTTAGATTTTCTGCGCCACCCAACAGTAACAGCCGACCATACTAAAAGGTGTGCAGGTTCTTGTCTAATACATTCGCCTCTATTTCATAAAATACTGAATCAAGAGTGTGTTGGTTTGGGTCAAACAAAGAATTATCTGCACTAGACTTTCACAACTTCCAAATAGCAACGTGTAACGCCTACTACCAAAGAGCTTGTTCTGTTTTTAGCTTCACTGAAGAAATTTTCACAATGTTTGTTTTATTACGGTAGAAATCAGCCTCCACAAGTTGATATGCAAAGCAAATGTCGAAATTAAAACAAAATCAACGAACTCACATATGTTTCTTCCGCATTTAAGATATGTAAACATTTTAAATGCATCTCTGCAGAATATTTGAAATCCCCAGATTAAATTACCTCTTCTACTTCGAACAGAAAGAAGTGGTAAGACAGTATCGACTCTTTGACGCTTCGGTAGCCTTTTGTCTGTCTCCATTTGGTAACTTCAGGCCTCACGCAAGGACCGCTTGGAGCAAGAAATCTTTCACCCCCGTTTTCGTGACCCAAAACGCCAACGAAGAACGGAACATCCTCCCTATGACGCGCTCTCGCTATTGAAAATTAATGACTCACACCCATCCGCGAATTATCTTCGCCGCCGAACAAGAAAGGAAAAAACGAGAGACCTTTCATTCGTATTTGTGCGCTCCCAAAACACCAACAAAGACGGGACATCCTCCCAAAGATGCACTCGGGTGATGGACAACCTACTACTCACTATCGCAATAACACGCAAAATATCTTCGCCCGCCAAAAAAAAAAAAAAAAAGACTTCGAGAAACACTTTTCCTCAAAATCTTGACTGTCAACCTGACAACCTTGAAGATGCAAATAGTCCGGAGCGCAATAACACATTGCGCTATTTCAAGAGGTAGTATTCGCGACACACTCATAGATGGCGCCAGCTGACAGCTGGATTTATGGCATTTTGATGGGCTACAAACTTAGTTAAATATTATCACAATGAGAATCTCAACTTAGTTAAATATTATCACAATGAGAATCTCTGGAAAAAAGATCTTGTAAGAGATAGATTTGAAAAGTCTTGGTCTTCAATATTGTGGCGCCTGAATTTGTATTTAGGCTCCGGTTTATTTTTTAATGTTCATAAAAAACGAAACGAAAAAAGAACTTTTTCAAGCAAGTTCCCGAAAAAAAAAATTTAACATTTATATCGGGAAAAGTAGCGCCACAATATTACTCAGTTTTTTATTATCTTTGTAATAAAACCATTCCCAATTCAATTCGTTCGGTGGTTGTTGAGACAAAATATCAAAAAGTTGCCATTGGAATTGCATAGGGCTTGGGAGCTGTGATATCCTCTTAATTTTTGCAAATTTGTCACGCGAATATGTTACCCCATAGTTACGAATACGTTGCATACCACTCCCAATCATGAAACTTCGTGCCCACGAAATATGCCTTGAACCCACACTTCGCAAAACTCGTGAAATATTCAGTGCATAAAAAGGAAGCTGTTTACGCTAAATGGGGGAAAATACTGGGTAGGCAATTTCTGGGGATGAAACGGCAAATTTTTGTCAGAAATAAGTGATCAATAACGGGGCACTTGCTACGAATCGCACGACACCGGAACTCGTACCGTGGATTGCGAACACAGCAAATTATAATTTTGCAGTGCGTTAAACAGCCAGGAACTCGCTGCAAAACTTCTGGGGCACGTTTACTCATGCCGCAGATCACGGACGCAAGATATTCGTGTTTTACGGTACAACCTATTATGCGGGAACTTGCTACGGACTACAGACTTGATGTCCCAGGAACTGATATCATGCGTGCAGATCACGGACACAGCAAACTTGGGTTTCACAATGCGATAAATGTGTGGGAGGCTGCTACCAACTCTCTTGTCACAGGTGCCGATTCCGCTGATCGTGCGGTTGATGTGATTCCCATCGGAAGTCGCATCAACCGCACAATCAGATAGGCGATCTCTCAGGAATAGGCGATGTTTAGGAATTCTTAGCCTATGGAGATTTAGCCAGAAAAACGGGATGGGCAATCTCTCGGGGGAAGGCGTTCGGACGGAATTTTGCAGTGAGCTGTGGAACAGGCAGTGGCTGGTTGAGTTTGGCCTAGCTGGAAGTGGCCACTGTTGGGGGAAATATGTGAAAGCTGTACCCGTAGCGTAAAACCTCGTATAAACTTCCTTTCCCGAGAGATCACCCATCTTGTTTTTTCTGGCTAAATACACAGAGGTGAAAAACTCCCTGAAAATCGCCCACCCCCGACGTTGGACATCACGCAACAGGAAGAATTGCTTCAACCGCGTGACCTGTGGTATCGGTTCCCGTGACAGGAGAGTTTGTGCCGGGTTCCCGCAAGTTCATCACACCGTCAGACGGAAATTTGCTGTGCTGCAATCGGGGGTATCAGTTCCCGTTGCACCATGCTTACTTTGAATACCTCCTCCATGCCTCATACCTCCATTGACTGCAGCCATTGTTGCAATAATTGACATGGCTGATTTGGGGATTGCAATTACTGATGCGTTAAATTATGTTTCGTAGACGTAATTCTGTATTTTTGCCTTTTCATCATTTTCATTTTTATAGGTATTTTACGGTCCCCCACTCCTCTCTGTAATGCCTTCGGGCATTACAGAGAATTGAGTTTACGGTGGGTTCCCCGGACGCTTATCGCACCGTGAAACGCAAATTTGCCATCTCAGTCTTCTGTGGCGTCGGTTCCCGTGACATACTAGTTCACTTTTGTTCTTTTCTCAAACTGCCCAGAGCGAACCAGCGAAGAGGGGCGACACGACAGACGACGAGGCGAAACTTGTCCAGTTAAGCCAGCCGGAGGCACCCGAAGAAGAGGTTCCCGTAGACGAGGTGGCGCGGCTGATCGGTCAGGAGTTGAAGGCCGCCACGGAGGCAGCGAAGGCGGGCCTCGCAGACCTCCAGAAGGATGAGGAACTCATGGTGCAGCTGCGGGCGATGGAGACCAAGAAATCAGGTCGGCCGGTGGTTCGTCATCGCTACTCTTGCACACGAGCGTCGTGCGAATGCGGGTCAAATCGCAGCTATTGGCACAGCCTTCCCCTTTAACCCGGAGAGGTGCGATAGAAGAAAAGGGCGCAGTATAAGTAGGGTATTGGGTTTTCGGGCTCTATTTTTCTTCAAATTCGGGAGTGTTTTTGTTGGGTTTATTTTTTCCCCACGGATTTGGCGTTTTTTTGGTGTCAATTTGAAGTGTCACGCGAGCGATAAGGGTTTACTGGGTTTACCCATGCCTGTGTCCTACTAAAGAGCAGGACACGGGCATGGCTGTCCATACCTACATGCTTCTTACAATGTGGTCCCTTGTCAGCGCAGCATAAAGCTGTATTTAATTCTTCTCGCGAAACTTGGGTTTTTCTTATTTAAGGAACGAAACTTGGGTTTTTCGGTTGTACCCGATTTTGACAACACTGGCCCAGGGGAGGTTCGTTTTCGGGGCTTAACGGTATTTACCAAAGACACGAATCTCTAGTTATAAGGGCACAATTGGTTTGCATAACTTGCAATGATTGGGGTTTTCTATCTGAAATCTGGTGCAGTCGAATCTCACTAATTCGAAGCTTACGAGGTCAGCGAAACACTTTGAATGAAGGAAACTTGTCATTAAAAAAACACACTCAAAATGTGAAATTTTTGTTTTATTATTTAGTACCCAAAAGTTAATTACTCTTATTTGTCTTTGTTGGCGCTTGTTTGCCACCGCTGACAGAGACGTGCTGCGGTAACTGCTAACGCACTTTCAACTGTGCATTGTCAACTGCAAACATTTTCTAAGCTGTGTCAGGCACTTTATCTGTGGAAGAAACCACAAAAAAGTCCTCTGTGGTGCCCAGAGCAGCTCCCCCGTTAGCGGCACTCGGCATGGAAAGCGTCGTACTGTTCCTAAGCCTAACCTCTTGAACGATTTCACTGTCCGAAAGCGAACCACAGACCATGGCATACTTGTTAATATCAGTGTAATCAACACATAAAACATCTACAAGAGCTGAGTAATTGCTCAAGCCCAACTTTGTTGGCCATGCGGCCATGCTTGCTTCCGCAACCTCAGTAAAAAGGTGCCATGATGTCCTCTCCTGCAGATGCCATGCTTGGCTTGACTTGGCCAGATAGGTTAAATAAGAGGTATGACGGCTCGGCCAATCGGTGGCTCGGCCAGCTAAGCCACGCAGCAATATTGTTTGCTCTTTTCGCGAGCGTCCACCATGCAGACAGTAGGTAGAAGCAATAAAGTGTGTGTGGTTGCAATTTAAACTTGTTTAGCATAAGTGTGAGGCTTGTTTATGCTTCCGAAGTTACCAGACTTCAGGAGTGCACCTTAAAGGGATACTGACAGGGCATTTATGCTTGCCAAGGTTTTTATTCGTACATGATATGAGAGCCCAACTGCCCTGAATGCAATTTGCGACTCGAAATTTGTTATCTTTCTGCCGGAAAATCGCCGATTGAGAACTGGCCGTTTTGAGCCGCGCTCACTTTTTTCTTCGTGGTCACGTGCCATCTACTATGGTTTGGACGCAACCACCAAAGACAGTCAAATTCGTGGGTTATTGAAGGCACACACTCAGTACTAAAAGTACAAAAAAAAATATTGTACCCATTTTTTGTGGCTTCTAAAAAGCTGCAAATACGTTGACTGAAAAAAAAAAGTTTTACAATTATGTGATTTCTAGCAACCCTCTCCTCCTCTATATTTCTTCTTCCTCCCCAGTCCAGTTTCGGTTTTGAGCAGTTGCGTTTTCTGACTTAATTAAATATATATGCGACGCTGTAGTAAAGTATTGATTGGGTTGCCTTTCGAACACCATAGTGAATCGCCTGGCAAAAGATATTTAAAAAATTTGGGGGGATTTTAATGTCTTTAAAGCCCGACACGCAAAAATAAATTCTTCCTGGCAAAAGATTTTTCTCCTTTCCTTCGTTCCCCCTTCAAATTTTCTTCTCACTTATTTACGTCCTCCTTGCATGCTAATCGTCTAAGCGGCTTACAACCTCCCGAACCTGAACAACAGGGATTAGTAACACTGGCAAGGAATGAGCACCGAAAGGGGCTGTTGCTATCGTTTAGATTCCTGGATCGCTCTTCGGGCCATTCTGTGACGGGCTCACGAGTATCTTTTCGGGAAGGACCACATGCACCTTTCATTCCCTAGCTGACAGTATGGTGGAAGCTGCATGCTCATGGGACCAGTCCTATGTCTATCTTTAGCCATATGATTACACCTCCATCCGTAGACACGTGCAGGGAGCAGGGTCATGTGATAAAAGGGAGGCTTTTCATTGGTCCGGAAGGCACGTAACTCCCACAGCACTGTTAGTCCAAGGGTCAACAAAGATATTTATTCTTTTTTTTATTTTTTATTATAGTGTTTGTGGCGTTAAACCACTAAGCGTGTATTCTTTTTCTTTTTTCTTTTTTTTTTATTATGCGCTAAGCTAAGCTCTGGCAACTCTATGTATGTTCACGTGACACAGATATGTCACACGACGATTTACAGTCACATGTCATCGTAAGCCGTTTGTCTGCTTATTAAAAGATTGTGTGAGGATACCGAGGTGTCTCGGAAAGGCACAGCAGAGCTTCCCTTGCACATAGCGAATCATCTTCATTTTCGGCATTTGCTTTTTTTTTGGAAGAGGTTTGAACATTGTCGCGCCAATTTCGGCCGGGAACGCTAGGCCGATGCTCCGCCGCAGTCTCCTCCTCTGATGTGTGTTCTTTTAGGGCGTCGTCCCGCATTCCTATCTTCGAGAAGAACATAGAATAAAGGCTCGAAGACCTCGACATTTGTTGTACCGAAAACAGCCTTATTTTTGCAGTTACGTAATTTTGTGGATTTCACCAAGTATGAATTTCGGGAATATTTAGTGGGCATTTCACGATTGAAAACGGTTCTCTATGTACTGGTTGTGATGGAGTAATGTATTTGTGCGATCAATTTTTCTCAATATCTTTAAATCGTGAAGTTTGTCCAAAATAGTTATTCGCAAAAATTAGTCTGCTCTAGTATTTGATGCGGCTGCTGAAACAGTAACAAACCATAATTCGTTCTCTAATAAAAAATAAAAAATAAAACTGCAAGATATTAACAATAGAAAGCCTCTGAAAGAAAAATAAGTTATCGTTGGGAAAAAAAGCTGTCGTCAATGTTCTCTTGTTGGTAAAATGCTTTCTAGACGGTTATTGAAACGAACGAACCACGTGAGGAACCCAACGGGGCAAGCAGATGCCAGCATGCGAGAAGAATGGCAGCTTGGCTTTCTTCAGCTTAGTTTATACTCTGTAAAAGCCAAAGCTTACGGTGCAGTGGGAGCTACAGGCCGGCTGGACCATTCAACCGTTTCCTCTCGTCGCCTAACCTCGCCCTCTGCGCATAGGTACGTGCGGGGTTGTAACCATGTGGGGAAAGGAAAGCGTACAACCGGTCCAACGAGCACGTAGCATCCATGGCGCTGTCGGTACTCAAAGCCTGACGGTCAAAGTGAAGGCTAGCGTCAAGAAGGGGGGAGTGGGGAAGAAAGAAGGTGCGGTGTCTGCATTGCTTTGTGCGATTGCTTATTGGCCGCCAGTGAAGGTTCGTTTTCTTCTTAGGATTGCGTCAGGGACCCGATGACTAGGAACGCCGATCGTGTGCGGATGTTGATGGTCAAAAAACATGACTGAGAGGACTCCATTAGTGAGAGAGAAATAAAAAGAAACGTCTATTTACAATACAGATTGAAAGGTGGCCCGACCGACGTTCTTCCCGGCCCTCGCGCGTCTCCCTTCTTCTTCCTTCTGGTCGAGCCACAGCCGCGCCGCTCACTTTAAAGTCATTACTCAGAGAAAAGGAAGACAAAACCGAAGCTACAGCCACTGTACCGAAACCCTGCGCATGTCGCGCCTCTGGATTTGTGGCCGTCATTTACGTTGACCTTCACACCGCCATCTTTCTAACTTTTATTGGCAACGTAAAAACGAAGGTTCTTTCCTTCTCTCCTCTTGCGGGAAAAACGGCGAGGAGAAAATCAGGAAGAGTGGAGAGTAAGCTTCCTCCTCTTTGCTTGTTGGTCGTCCTTCAAGTGCAGTGAGGCTTTCAGAGTCCCGTGAAATAGTGGTTGCCTGAAAAGGTCGCCCGAATCATTAACTGGGATGAAAACTCTTGTGTGTCGCTGCTAGTCCCAAAGATGCACGGTAGCCAGTTTCCTCCGTTCTTCTCACGTGGTTGAAAGGTCGTTCTTTGAACTAGCTTCGACCCGTGCTCATGCACATGTTGGACCGCAGATCTGAGGTAGCTAGGGTTCCTTCAAACACAGATGCTTTATGGTGTGATTGTTTTATATGCCACTGATGTTGAGGACCCTTCCTTATTATACCTGGTTACAATATATGGCTGAAGGGACCTCATTGCTTGTTGTTTGGTACATTAGTATTTTTCCCTCTTCGAAATTGTAAAGGCCAGTATCATCTGTGTGCAGCATCATGCGCAGTGCGAGTTGCGGCAGAGAGTCAATAGCCTCGTCGTTTTAAGTACTACTCATAACTTCTGACTCTCTTTCGTTTCTGTTTTTTGCCTTTTGAAGCAACCTCGAAAGGAGCAGAAGAGGAGGGCGAAGAGTCGGATGACAGCGGGGCGGCCGCAGACATTGTTGCCCAGGTACGTCTTTCAAGTTCTCACACCTGCTGTTCTGCCTCTGCCACGATGGAGATTTTCAAATACTTAAGGGGAGTTGGAGGTTGAAGGTGGAAAATTAGGCTAATTATAAAGAGACATTGCGTAATGGCATTCAGCTACTTCAACATTATCAATCTGCAGCGATGGAATGGTTCTCACTCATTTTGGCACAGCAAAGAGTTTGCTGCACTATGAATTTTAGGGCTCGTGCGATTAAAGTAAATTTTATTTTATTATTAGCTTGCTATAAATTCACAGATATAAAATTATACAAGCTTGATCATGCTGACAAAGACTGGTAAGTGCAGAATGTGCAATAGGCCTTCCAATAAAGAAGAGAAGGGTGCAGTGCACGACTGTTTCCTCGCGTGCCGTGCCAAAGCCTTAGTTTCCGCATGATCCGGCCATCGGCCCCGGGTAGCTCGGTCGGCAGAGCAATGGGCTCACAATCTCGAGGTGGAGAGTTCAAACCCTGTCAGGGACTGAAGTCTTTTTATATGGTTCCCTATGAGCGTAACACTTTTTGGTGTTGGCTTGCCGCGGCAGCCAGCTGTTACAGTCAATTGTTGCAGAACTCCATGGAAATCGACTGATAAAACATTCAATGTTAATGGTTGTTACCTTCCTTATAAATATGGCACGATAAGCTTGTACCAACGAGCGGTTTTTGTTTCTTCTCCATACCGAAGAGCGGTTAATGGTGGATGGTACCACTTGTATAGGGATCAGTGATACACACCAACAGCAACAAGATGTGTGCAGTGTATGCGAAGGCTCGGGGCATTAATTTATTGAAAGTTCTGATAATCTCTTCAAAATTGATACAAAACCTAAACCTCAAAAACCAAATTATAAAAAAAAAGAAATGCCAGAAACACTTTTTTTTATTTTTTTTATTCGGTTGGTAGCACCTATCCATTTGCACACTTGGAGTGTATGCCACGTTTACTTTAGTAATCGCCATGATATTTGTAAAAGAGACTTGCGTTTCTACTTTCCAGCAGAGCACTCAGACAGCCAATCATTCGTATCGACAGAAGGAGCCTACCGAACGGTGCGAGAAAGATTACATCCTTGGACAGACACGTTATCTGTGCTGTGGCAATGCACGCTCTGTTATGCATGGCCAGTGCGGATAACCTTTTCTCAAAGAAATTTTTTATTCATCTCAGTATTCTTTTTGTTTCCTTACCAAGAACAGCACGCTTCGCTGTGCAGGCCTTGTGGGAAAGTAGGTGCACCGGCCTCAGTCATAAAGGTCCAACCATTACTATAGCAAATATTATACTTTCATAGAACCCCCGATAAACGAAGAGAAGGCCCTTTGATACTCGCTATAAACATTTATTTTTTGATAGTATGTTTGAAAACAAGCTAATGAGTCGTTTTCGTATCAAATATGAATTAAACATCAAGCATACTCGAATTTGATTCAAAATGTTGAATGTACCGACACATCCCACACTGGTTATCAGTAACCTTAAACAGGAAGCAGTACTTCCCCGGCATAGTCCTCGACCCGTCTCTGCAAGTGGGAACATATTAACGACACAAAAGAGTAAAAGTTTGGTTGCCTGTTGTTTGTGCAGATCCTCGAAGAGAGCAGACTGGAGGAGCTTGAGGTAGAAGAGGAGCTTGGGCTGCCAAAGCCAGGCGAGGTGAAGCCTTAAATGTACATGCCTTTCAGCCCACACATTAAATGACCATTTCCATTGCTGCATGAGACTGCCTCTTCCCTCTGTTCTTCTTTCCCCAAACCAGCACTTCTTTACCTGTGTTGCACATAGAACAAGTTGGCTGCCCCCCCCCCCCCCCCGTGTGCATGTGCATTGGCACACTGACGCTCTAGAATGCCTGTCATGGCCTGTCTTGCTCTCTCTGGGTGACAAGGTCTGAGATAGATATAGAGCGGGAACATTGACACGGCGGCAAGCTTCTACGAAAGAAGAGCGGCGACCAAAGCTTAGCGTTTTGATGCTTATACAATCTCAAAGTTCTTTCAGAAAAAAGTCTAAATTGTGGGAATATCACTGCAAACAGCACTGGCTTGCTTGTGATTCAGCGTGCTTGGAGACTGAGAAAACCTATTATGTAAAGAGTGTGGCACATCTAGCCCAAAGCACAAAAAACAATGTCTCCTATTTCTTGCACACAGCTGCAAAGTTGCCACTGAAACTGTACGAGTGTGCATGAAGAATTCGTAGTATGTACCAAACTTCGATGGTAAACATGATTGTAAACCTGAGACTAGGGCAGAAAGAGAACACAACCGAAGGTAGTAAAAGAGGAGGCCCTTTATCATGTTCATGTTCAACTTACACCAGCTTGCCTGCACTCTGACTATTTTTTCGATGGTAAAGTTTGCATTCGACGCTAACCTACACGAGTAAATGGTGACAAAGCGTCGACGTCGTGTTGGAAGTGTCGCGTGACCTAGGTGCATCATTGGTTATGTACATCACATCACAAACTGTTCTCAAGTTTTTACCTGAGAATTCCCACAATATCAACTTTACCGACAGGCACGAAGTTATGGAATGTCTGATGCACTCAAGTTTTTTTTAAGTTGACCAGCCCTATGTCAATGACTGTGCATTGGGTACTGAAAACAAATGGTCCCAACACCCTACGTAATATGACAAAGCAGACTGTCATTGTGGGCTTGTATAAGGTAGAAAGGAGGAACATAATGTGTTCCTTGTTCATTTCCATCTCTCTTCTAATAACGATATGATGCTTGCTGCATTTATGTTTTGTTTGTAGCCTTAGGAGAGTACATTGAAAACATTTCCCTTAAAGGAGCTGCGCAAAGATATTGGGTAGGAACGTTTCTCGCTTTACATTGGCTTACTGGCTCTAGTAGGACCCGAGAATAGTGAAACGCTACGCCACTGACCAAAGAGCGTCTTCGTCGCGGTAGAGTTCCAAAGATAAGAGCAACCTTTTGTTTCAGTCTCTCTTTCGCAAAACTTTATGACGGAGCTGTGGGGACAATCCAGCAATCTGATCCACAGGAATGTGTCGTCAATCTTCAAATCTCCGCTGTGACATTATTTAAATGCTGCTCGTACAGGGACACAAACGTTGCGTAGGCATTTGATTTTGGCTCATTACAATCAGTTCCTCAACAAGCATTCGGGTAGTGGCTCATGCCCCATCGCTGGGATGACGGGAATGGCCGAACCTTAACAATGCGTGGAACTCTGTGTGCACCCTGTGCTCTGCCAACCCCAATGCGAGGCTATGTTAAAAACGTTGGCGGCATATAATTGGCTCCAGATCACGCGGCTGCTTTTTCTGGCTGTGAGTTGAGGGAGTTAACGGCGTTTGTTTTTCTCCGATATTTTCTGCGACTGCCACTGCATAGAGAAAAAAAGCAATGAGTGTTTCATAGGTCATAAATATCAAGGAAGAATTCTAAGCTGCATTTATTGAAAGTAGAAAAATTGTTGCATTGCCCCTTTAAGGTCATCATCCTCCAGTATGAATGCATTTTATGGTATCTTCTTTTGTTAGAGAGCAATGTCATACTCTCCATTAAAGCTCGTAAACAAAAGTGTGGCACTACGGAGCACCTTGAATCCAGAACTTGAACTGCACACTATTAGCTCCAATAGCTATACACACTTCATTAGCACACTTAAGCTAACACTCCATTAGCTACTATGCACACTTGAATTGCAGGTACTGTTCAACTTTTGTCTGGCTAATGAACCATAGGCTCAAGACTGGCAGAGCCACTGGCGTCTATTGTAGCAAGCTGGATCGCAGTCGAGGCTTGTTTTGCTGAGACTGAGAAGCACAGTTGGCAGCCATCGCTTGAAACTAAAAGATACACGAGGCTCTATGGAAGAATTGGAGAAAACGGGAGTTTCATACGTTGGTAGGTTGTCCTTGACGATGAAAATTTGAGGACGTTTCCCGGAAACGGTGTTTAATATTTTGTGCTCAGATATTAAACCGACTGGACACCATTGTTTCATAAACAAATCTTTTGTGGTTAAAGTTCGGAGATTGCGACTTTGTTGGGCGAAAACTGCAAAGCAGTTCATTGAGACGTGGATTGCTGAGAGACAATGTGGGAGTCGTTTGCAATCCCAAAGTCTTTGAATCATTGGAGCTTAGCTAGCAGACAACAGGTTTGAAAATTCCACCTTATAAGAGGTGCTATCATCATGAAACTTATTGGACATTCAAGGGCAGCTGGGCTTAATTAAAGGCCCAGTTTTTAACGACAAATTTACCTTGTTTCTGCAGGTTAGTGACCTGCAACCGCAGGCCAGAATGTTGCGTGTGCAGCACTTACGTGCTCCACTATCTGAAAATAACAACCCTTGTTTCGTAGACACCTTGGTGGCTCTGAGGGAAAGCACCAGTCTACAGATACTTGGGCGGCAAGTTCGAATCCCGTCCGAGGACCCCGCAATCTGGCGGAGGCTTGTTGCAAAACAGACACCATGTATCCGAGATTTCGGTTACACTTCAGAAGATCCCCAGCTTGTCAAAATCCTCGATCCTTTGGATGTCAAAAGGAGTAATTTCTACCTTCCATCGTGTTTTTGTGGCCACAGGGCAACGAAATGTAACGGGACAGATTCACATTATTTCATATGTTTGTGCTCAATGCTTTTGGTGCGAGGACGTCTGTGACAAAATGAAACTTGAATTGTGTTTTTTTATTGGTTAGCGTGTCAATGATATGCAGCGAGAACAGCCTATGGCCAGCATAGCCTTTGGTGCTGTAGTGCATTAAATTTTTTAAACGCATTCAAATGCTTGATAAATTCTATTCAGTCGCAAAAGAGCCAACATATTGTTCGCAAAACATAATAAAATATCCCCAGTTGAATGCCGTATACAAGCGTCAATATTCCCACTTTTATGCATCGCCCAGTGTCAAGCAATGGCTTCCAGTGATGCCACTGGCTAGTTGCAGATCGACGGTCCAGCCTAGTAGAGTAGAGATCGGTGAGCAGAACACTAGAAGTATAGCCCCTTAGTACTTTGCTCAAGATTAAAAACACAATCTTCGTTGGCTTGTGGAGTGCTCAAGCTGCTATGCTACAAATGATCAGGTGCTGAAATAGTGGCAAATTGTTCTGTGCGAGAAAGTACAGGAAGCAAAATGCTGGATCTAACCAAAATGTGCCTGGCAGTTTAGAAAAGCAAATGCTGAAAACGGAAATTTTTATGTGACCAACAACCGGTGTCAGTTATGTCCAATTTTGCATCCTGAGATTAAAGAAACTTGTCGTGACATCATTTACGTGCAGGTGTGATGACCAGTGTAGAAGATGCACAGTCCAGCTCCGCAACTATGTACTGTAGCATCTAGAACAAACATTCTCTTTAACGCTGTTTTCTAAGGCTAGGGTCGTCGAATCTGCTGCAAAGAGGCGACCATTCCCATTTGGTTGTGCCTTATCAACCAAGTAACAATGTGTACCGCAGGAGATGTGGAAGAAGTTCGGGCAGAAAGCAATGAGTATTCCTTTTGAGCTCACTGGTTTCAAAATGCCACGCATGTGATGGAGCAGCAGTGCCGAAATAACTCCAGAAATTAACTTGCGGCGTTGGCTGTGCCACATGTCGGAGATGAACCGCAGAAAAATTGACTTCACGAAATTTCTCCAACTAGCTCTGAAAAGGCAGGCTGCACTGGCACTCTTGAGCATGCAGGTGACATGCACTCGTAATCCCACCACAGATTGCATTCCTCCCCCCCAATGTTGCACGTGCCCCCTCGCTCACGGCTGTCCTTTTGGAAATGACGGCGACTGGTTTTCCATATCCTCTGTAAAAATGAACATTTCTGGCACGAGCAGTGCCTATCAAGAGGTTGCCATTGTGTGTAGCAAGGTGGCATACTTTGCACCATTCGTTTGATGTTGCCTCACACGACCGCCCTGTTCCAGGGCTCGCCGGAGGACAAAGAACTTCCCTGGTGCGTCATCTGCAACAAGGATGCTGTCCTACGATGCCACGGCTGTTCGGACGACCTCTACTGTCAGTGGTGCTACAGGTTGGTTGTCCTTCAATTAATCTCAGTTTCAGGCTCGGTCCCCATCCCTGCCAGTTTTGAAGCGAATGAGCATTGTACCGGCATGCGGTTGTGTGCCTAATCACGACTGCGTGAAAATAGTAAAGACCCCGGTTCTGCAGCCACTGGTCAGGGTACACCTTTATGGCCGTTGAACCATTGCCACCATATCTCGAGGGCGGGCCGACCACACTCTTTAGAAACATTCACGATGCCGAATTTGCTTTCCTTTTAATATCGGTTGTGTGTGAATGAAGGGGAACTTCCTGATATGATTGGTATATGGAAAGATGCCTGGCATGAAACGAAGCGACAATTGTTTTCTCAGACTGAATGAAATGGCCAGGATATATTAAAATTAGACAATGTCTTGAATGCTCAGAAGGGATATTTTTAGCATCTGAATCGGGAATCGCTGACTTTTTTGCTGTGGCCGGCTGAATTGCCTCAAAGTGGGCGGAGTGGGCCACATAAAAATCCGGGAAAGGGTGGGGGGCAGCAGCAGTGGGAGCAGCGAGTTAAAAGATAAAACATACAGAAAATGTGACCTGCAAAGACAGAAAACAATTATTGATTTAGGCACACGTAAGATTTTCAAACCCCCACTTAGTAAGATTTTTTATGCTCAATATTGCTTGTCAAGATGCTAACATTTTCGTTAAAGGTACTAACTGAAAGTCAAAACATTTTGGAGGTGTCCATCTATCCTTCGCAAATGCACGTTTGACCTTATTCTTCATCCCGTGGCGCAGCAGAAACTGTGATCATTACTGCCGCAAACATCCATAGATTTAAAAAACCAATTCAAGGAGGCCAACGTGAAACTCAACAAGATTGTTCACGGCAAAGGCATACTTAACGTCTGTTTTTGTGATCAGCGAGCTCTATCTGGTAAATCTCTTGAAGTTAGCCCAGGTCCGCCTCTAATAACTTCTGCAAAATGTGTACCTACCATAGGATACCGTATATCCTCCCTTTCTACACTAAGTGCCCACCCCCAAAATATGAAGCACCTGAAAAATTATGCACAGCACATATATACATAAAACTGATGACCTCGCATGTGACCATCCCCTTTTTTATTGTGATTATCCTCAAATTTTGAGTGGGCATTTACTTGGCATTTTACGGTACGTTGTTCGAGTGTGTTTGAAAATTGGCGAACACAAATTCCAACGTCGCATACTATTTCTTAGGTTCTCTTTAGGGAAATATGTGCCTATTTCTCTTGGAAAGGTTCTCCAAAAAATAAAAGTATTTAGTTTTTTTTTTTTGGTATAGATTTTTGGTGCTGTAAAAACTCGCTTCAGCTGGAAAAGTTTTACGTCTGAAAGCCCTCAAACAACGAGCTTCTTTTTCCTTTGTAGTTTTTCGTTCCGGTGATTAAGATGATGGGAAATATCAACCATCAATGTCAAGTCGCACACCCAATCGACACGAGGGAAATTCTCCAAGGGCAAAATCCTTCCACAGAAAACAAAAAAATCGTGATCTCTTCACAAAAAAAGATAAAAAGAACCCTAAAAAACTCTTGCTTCCCTTAAGGCTGAACTGCATGTAAGATATTTTGCGAGTGACGAGACGAGCGACAGCAACAGCGACGAGAGTCAGCGATGGAGATTTTTCACGGTCGCTCGTCGTTTCGATCAGTTTTGAGATTTCTAGAAATTGTTGCTCATCGCCTTGGTCGCTTGCTGCCGTCGCTTTCATGTGGCTTGCCTTGTCGCGCGACTGACCGAGCGACAGCAAAGCGGGTCGCCGTCGCTTGTCTCGTCGCTCGCCAGATCACTTACATGCGGTTGCGGGCTGTCAGTTACCGATCCCCGGTTTAAATAGTTGGCTTCCAACCATGCCCATATATTTTCCTCAAAGAAAACAGGCAACATTCACAGCCTTAATATTTGCCCGCTTCTCTTTCTCGGAAAAGAGTTTCCCAGCAGGGTCATCTCATTTCTCGTTGCAGAGAATTTCACGACACCGAGCCGCACAGGACCAGCGCCTTCAAAAAGTGAACCTTCGAGCCTCGAGCGAGCTTATGCAGTGAAAGTCTGCACATTGAAGCAATGTTCCAAAAGAATTTTGTTGTCAGCTGTGTTTCCTGTTGTAAGGAGGAATTATTTAGAACCGAAATGCTCTACGTGCTTCCCACGCTTCACCACGCATGTTGTGTGCAGTGTTGGCAAAGGTACATAGGTCTGCTGCGGAACATGCCTTTTCTGCACAAGCATGCGCCCAAGGCAAGCATTATGTCATACCACGTGCTCATGCTTTCCGAAATGCTGTACATGTCTTGAGGGGAAGTATAACAAGCACTTCTAAAGGACGCGTTTTTATAAATATGTATTAAAGAAATTAGCAGTAAATCTTTTTGTAAAAGGTTTGGCTGTGCACTGTTCGACGGACCATTATGGAAAATTGCCAGTTCAGGAGGTTCTGGTAGGAAAAGAAGTGAGCACACGCTCGAGCGAGCGCGGGCACTCCTTTGACCAAGGAAGCTAGGTCCTGCTGGCTCCACTGGGGCTTCAGGGACTTACCTAGATTGGGCTCCCCCACAGTTCCCTTTGTGTCTATTGTGGCTATATTTTAGCCTTCGAGTTTGTTCTAAGACGCTTCTTCGCTCTCTCTCCTAATGCGCACATTGTTTCATCCTGGAAATCCCGGAACTACTTTTTCTGCCAGGTGGCACCACTTACCTCTAAAGTGGTGGATTGAGATTTTAGGCTGTTGTAGCACATGACACTGCAACGTTTTCATATTGCGTGCTTCGGTAGCCTAGATTCTTTGCTGTCTAGCATGAACCAGAAGTGTTTGCCGTGAAATCCGGCATGTCCTATTTTAATGACACTCTAGTACAAACTTCAGGTTCATGCCAGCCAGGCAGAATGAATATTTTGAAAATTGATTAGTAGATTTATTTTAGTTTGGTCATCATTGTGTCGCTTTTATGCCCCGACGTCTGCTAGGGCCAGTAACTTAATCTGAGCGGAAACGCCTGTCCACTTCAAGTGGCCTTTTGGAATTCTTTCTCTATAAGAAATGCACCTGAGAAATTGCTTGCTTTTGTACAGTAGTGGTGCTTTTTTCATATCAATGCTTTCAAAGCACCTGTTCTATATGTAAAACTACAAAGCAGCAAGAGTTGAACAACACTGTCATTGTTCTTGCCTTGTCAAGAAAAGTAAAAAAAATATTAAAGGTATACTGAGTCTCCAGCCTACTTTTTTTCTGCATACACTGCAAGCACATTTCACAATAGATAGAGAGATAGATAGACAATGAAACAGGGAATGCAGGGTTGCCTCAGTTTGAATTTTGCCTCCGACGTTTAAACACGTTTTGTTCCTCGACCAAGCATGTACAGCGTGTCCCCGGAAGAAATGCGCAGTCTTTCTTTCACCGCAGGAAAAAGGCAGTGCATGACCGAAAGCCCAGTTTCCGCCCAAATGTAGCGCTAGCTGTCTGGACCAAATGCCGAAATTTCAGACATTGCTCTTTTCGAAGCCAAAGTTTAAAAGCAATTTTCTGAGCTTTTCAATGGGAAAATGGCAGCCAATGGAGGCCATGAGTACATGGGAATGAATGGCGTCAGCTACCGAGAATGGGCCCGTTTCCACCTTGAATGTTTCAGAAAATCACTTATAACTTCTGAATACTAGAACTGCTACTTCTGAAACTTTGGCATTTTAGGCATTCGGCAATGTGTCGTTTATCTTCGGCATTTGTGGTCCGGACCGTTTGTGTCCATTTGAGCGGAGATTAGGCATTCGGCAATGTGTCGTTTATCTTCGTTCTAAAAAAAAACTTCAATTTTTTTTTTTTTTTTTTGGGGGGGGGAGGGTATATATAAATATATATATATATATATATTTTTTTTTTTTTTGCATGTGCGGGATTTTGGGTTAAAATCTTAATATTGCAGGAGGTTGCAGACTGTGCTGGTTATTTTAACAAATCAATGCCGGTAAAGGAAAGTCGGGTGGATTCTGACCGTCTCTAGCTTTGTCAGAATAAACACATTTAGCAACCCCAAGCCCTGTTCTTCTCTTGAGGCACCTTATCGTAGGAAAATAGTTCCTTTGAGAACGCCGTCTAGAGGGCATGACGTCAGCCGCGTAGCCTCCACAAGCCATGCTCCCTTGACGCCTCGCCTCTTTCCCATTTTCCTCCTTACTCTCACCACATCACGTGACCGTAGCTAGCCTTCCTCTAGCCTTCGATCTGATAAAACCTACCGGACGGAGCGCGCGCAAGACTGCAGGGAATCTACCTACAATCAACCATCCATTTCGCACGTGACATGTCACGCGCACCAATCGCCAGACAGATCTGCGGTCACGCTGGCCACAAAATCGTTTAAACTTTTTATGACTAGACTTCACCAACATTGCAATGTGCGCCCTCCCAGTACTTCTAACCTCCTTGACGCCGTCTCACCTTAGCAGGTGTCCAATCAGTGAGAACATGTGTCCCAGCCAAACGCTGACAGAGCATTGGGTCTCCCATCTGTGTCCCGCACTGGAACTCTGGTAGATGACATAGAAAATAAGGAAGTTTTGCGCATTGTTCATACGCCTTGCGAAGTAGTTCTTACAAGATTTGGTTGTCGGAGGAAGAAGCGATGCTTTTGGCGTTTGAAATGAATATGTCTGGATAAGGTAACATATATCGAGTGTAAAATGCACCCACATATATTTTAGTTCTCCACATAAAGGGAGAAATTAGTAAGACCCGCTTCAGACGGAGCAATTTCACCCAGCAACTTGACGTCGCAACACTAGCAACTCGGGCCGCCCGCGTTCACACGCAGCTACTTTACTAAAACACTCAGTTGGGAAACTCCCATAGAGACAGCTTTCAAAAAGTGGCCCCAATCTGTCTCCGAGCACCGAGCTAATGACGAACACAACGCCACCATTTCTCCCGCAGCGGCCACTCGAGGAACTGCACGTTACTGCTATCGGAAGAGGTTACAGGGGTTTAAAGAAAAGTTTATTGACACTGTAAACTGCAAGACGTAAATCACACCGGTATACAATAGGAACATGTACGCTACAAAGATCCAGGGGCGAAGGTAACGAAAAAACATAACTTAGCGAACCAAATATGGGTGCCACTCCCGACTTCCCTGCGGACGCGCCGCGTCGAACTACCCAAGTTAAAATGCACCTAGGTCAGGACGCGCTACCTGAAAGGACCGCTGAGGCATGGTTGTATAAAAACAATATTAATTGTGCCGCAAAACCCTGCAAACTAAAGACTTTAAAAACATAACGCGCCCCTCTTTTTGTACTAGACTCCAATAAATTTCATACAAAAAGAGTCTTTTCCGTTTGTTTTTACGCAAAAACAGGCTTTCAAAAAGCTCAAGGTGACCACAGTACAGACAAACGATAAAGAGTGGCGCTGTTGTCGCATTTAGCTCGGTCTCGGTGGACGCCAGCGGCCCAGGTTTTGACGGCGAGTTTCCCAACTAAGTGTTTTAGTAACGTTGGAAACTGGCCTCCGTTGCAGCGGGCGTCTTGGCTGAATTACGTCGGTAAGGCCCGCTTCAGACGAAGCAATTTCACCCAGCAACTTGACGTCGCAACACCAGCAACACAGGCCGCCCGCGTTCACAGACAGCGACCGAATTGCTCCGACTTGCCATCATCATCATTAAATTTGATGTTTCACTATTTAGACGCCCAGCTACGCGCTGAAAACGCGTTCTTATATCTTTGAACGGCGTTGAGAATACTAATTAATTTTTCTAAAACCGTTTATTTCCGAAAACGATCCATTTCAAACCAGAACTGAGTGTTTAGCTGTCATCATCACCACCACAGCGGTGTCACGTGAAAATATCGCGTTTCTGATTGGCTGCGGCCGCTTCAACCGTCTTCGAATTGCTCCGAGTTGCTCGCTTGTTCGAGCCGGACCCGACCTCAGCAGTTCGCGTCGATCTAGGGAAAGCTAGGGAACAACCCGCCAGCAACCTCAAAATTGCTGGAAAAGTTGCCCCGGCTGAAGCGAACCTAATGCTCTACAAAAAAACTTTTTTTTTATTGAATTGTGTAGTTGGAACGGCTGTGAGCGCACAGTCTTTGTGTTTTTTCCCCTTTACATTGTGAGGGTAGCTGGCACCGTCCATCGTCGTGGAAACCCCCGCCGTACCTAGAGTCATCAGCGAGTTTTAGTAGACCGTGTTTCCTGCTCCGCTAAGCCCCTCTGCTACCCGGAACTATACAGCCAAGGCCATCGGCGTGCAGGCTCAGTGGCGGTTTCTTCGTAGCGGAGGGGGAAACACTAGTCTACTAAAACTCCCTACTAAATAAAGCTACGCTTTCAGAGTACCGAAACTCCCAAACTACGCGTCTGAAGCGCGTCAGGCGCCGCCATCTTGGGTCCGCGCGCAGTTGGAGTATGGTGCCTGGATCTCGTCTTCGACTGGTGTGTTTAGCGTCCTATTCCGCCCATACATCAAAAGTGGTCCCAATGTGGCAACAAATGACGCGAGTGTCATGCTGTTGCCTGTCGCGATCCTGGCGGTTGGCCGTAGAAATGCTGGCGAAAAGCACGAGCGAACGCGAGTGTCGCTTTCGTCACCACGTCCCTTCAGGCGTCCCAACTTCCGGCTGCTCCAACTTCCGTGAACTGTCACAGTGGAAAGCGACCTGCAGCAGAACAGGCGTCTGCCACTTATACAACGAGGCACTTATACCACAACTGTTGGGGCGCCGCCAGGGTCGCAACAGGCGACAGCATGACACTTCTATGACGTTATCAGGCGGAAATCGAGGGACCACTCTTTTGAACCCGGTAAACACACCAGTCGGAGACGCGTTCCAGGCACCATAGTTGGAGGAGTGACTGTAGCTGAGCCAAGCCGAGCTGTAGCCGTCGACTGCGCCAGCTGCCGCGGCCGCAGCTGTGGCAGCGAATCAAAGTCGTGTTGTTCGTGTCTCGACGTAACACGGAAAACGCGAGTGCCGAGCGACAGACTTCAGCGTGCGCGCGCACTAAACAGCAAACAGCAGCAGGCAGAGGATCGCTGGACCCAAGATGGTAGCGTTGAAAAAACGCGATGATGATGATAGCGACTCACGTGACTGCCGCTGTCCAATGATGCCACAGCGAACCAGAATATTGTTAAATAGAGCGCGTGCATTGTCGGCAAAATGCCAAAGAAAAGGACTGTGATACTCTGAAAGAGTAGCTTATTTAGTGACTCTAGCCGTACCCTCCCCCTCCCATGTATACGGGGTGTTTCTCGAAACGTGAGCCAAGTCGTTACTGTGAGACTTGTGTATCGCAAAGGGCCCATCTGAGAAAAATTAATGATGTTTGGTATAATTAGTTTAATAATTACTTTCAAGACATTAATTTTTTTGATAAGTGGATTTATAGGTATGGTGTCAATTAAAAACTTGCCGAGGATCATATCGAAAATATGCAACTACCATAAAATCCCGCGATATGCCCCACCCCCGAAAGATAGCCCACCCCTGTTTTTGGCTTGATTTGCTACATTTATTTAAACACTGAAAGATAGCCCACTCCTAGTAACAGTAATGTCGAGATCAATGATGGCATCGGCGTAAATGCGGCTAGTTTCCTATGGCGGGATATCAGCGAACGTTGCTGACTGTGATCATCTTCGCTTCATTGCCCCTCGCCACCATAACAAGTTTGGAAGGGACACGACCTAAAATAGCAATTTTTTAAAACTTTTTTTTGATTGTACATCAAAAGTTAGCCCGCTCCATTTTTTCAGCCGATTTGCTCTTGATGTTAGGAAGGCTATTTCTCGGGATTTTACGGTAAATCAGCTTATTTTAGAAATATAGAAGGTGCGTACAGAATTTTACCGAGTTCCCAAAAAGGTGCTTTATTTGGATGTGTTTCGGTTTCCTATCGGGGTGTATATTTGCTCCAGCGGTCCTGCACCCCCCTGGCCACAGCACGCACTGCCCCTTGCCTCTCTTGTACGGGGCGTGTGTGTGCAAGCTTTGTAAAAGTAGAAAGGGGGGAGAAGAGGGCTAATAGTGTTCACGCACAGGGTGCCTTGGTCACTGACTCTCGGGGGTTGGGGGTTGAGGTGAGAAAAGTGGGGAGTGGAGGGTGGAGATAGAAATAAATTTAGAGGAGGTGGGGTTCGTGTCGAAAGAAGCGTTTAAATACCGGGTAGCAGGGAAGGGGTAGGGGAGTGGGAGGCAGCGATGACGATTTGCTGGATTATGCATCCCCACTTTGAGCCCACTGCGCGATTAACCACGTAAATGATGACATCACAACTTGGTGCTCCAAACGAACCGTTGCTAGGGCTGTTGCGGTTGTGGACGAATGCATAGGGGCTCAACGTGAAGTTAGAAATTGTCTGATAAAAAAGTAAATAATTTCTGGTAAGCATTGTGTCTTCTCAATGTCTAATCATGAAGACTTCTTCTATCGTGTCAGTACCATAAAGCGATGACAAAAGCACGCGTAATAGATTTTCACAACCGGTTTTGCCTTGCTTGCAGACAACATAATGGCTTTGCGCGTTGAGTGGTTCTTTCTGGGAACGTACATGATTGTGTTAAAGGAGGTAGGTGACGATCGAAGAAACTTAATTCTATTCGCGGGCTCAAGTTTCTGTGGGGTTTCGGAAGTGAAGCGTGCTCGTGCACAGCTTTGATCGACGCTCGAGGTGCGTGAGCGCGCGAAGGCCTTCCCAGGGTATTGAACCGTGACACGGTAGTGAACCGAAAACCGGAGAAAACCGTTCTTTTCGCGCAAACCAAAGTTGAACCGGAACGATTTTTTTTTTCGCTCGCGGAACCATGCGGTTTTCGGTTTATACGCGAAGTCAGGTCACGTGAAAAGTGCGTGGCGAAATACAGAGTAACCTAAATAATTAACCAAAAAATGCAACAACAAAAATTATTTTTGCGGAAAATGGATTTGAACCGGACCGAAATAGTTCTTTTTTCGTTCCGGGACAAAACGAATAAATTATTTTTGCGGTGTTTCGTTCATGAGGGAAGATGAAAAAGCGAGAAAAATATGTACCGGAAAGTATTAAGGTGGCGATGCAAGCGAGTTGGTTCATGACTTGGGAAATTGGAAACAGCGCGCAAAAAGACGAAGACAACGAGAGAAGAGCACAGGACAAGCGCTGACTATCAACTGAAGTTTCACTGTGCAGGTCCTGTCACCATGCCATGCTTGACAGCTATGAAGCTCAGGTCAAGCGACTTTTAGGAGCAGGATTTCCTCTGTCCGTTTTGCTTGGTGTCTCTCAGACACTCTTGAAAAAAGCCAAGAGCGGTTCTCAGGAACCAAAAGTAAAGCCTAAACAAAGGCCTCAGGTTGTCCCATATATACATTAGCTTTCACATAATATTAAAAAAAGTGGCTAACCGGTTCAATGTGCCAATGGTTTTTCAGCGCCTCAAAAATTAGCACAACTTTGCCCGCGCGTAAACCAGGCAAGCAGTGACAAGATGTCATGTACGGTTAACCCTTACAAAAAAAATTAACTGAGTTTCAATTGAAAGTGTAAAGAACTCACTCAATAGACCGCATTCAGTCTCAATTGAAACTCAATTGACTTTTTCTAATGAGTCCCTATTGAACCGTACCAGGATATATTGGCCACCGAGTCTTAATTGAACTTTTAGCAATTGCATTTCAATTGAATTTTGGCAATAGTGTTTCAATAGAACTTTTGCTATTGAGTTTCAATAAAAATATTGCAATTGAGTTTCAATTGAATTTTTGCAACGTGTCTCGATAGAATTTATTACAACTGCGTTTAAAAAAAATTGCAACTGGTTGAGAAACTTTTTTTGTATAATTCATTAAAAAGCACGCAACATGAAGGAAACAAAGCACATAGAAGAAAGGAACGCAAAGATCATAACTAAGCACTCACAACCCACTATTCGTACTCCCCTTGACTACCCCACCGACTTATATACCCTACATAAGAAAGGTATTCATTTGGCCGGTGACCACCTCAGCATTTATTAAGGTTCCCAGTTTGCTATTTCCTCCTTGGAAGTCTCATAAATGATAAACAGTGTTTCGACGTCATTGGACTCTATCCCTTAATAGAATAATAGAAAACCATTGGTACAAGCAATAATCGTTCGGTGCAGTAATCCACAAACGACCAAATTCAATCGCATTGCTATTGAGTAAATTCAATAGAATCGAAATTGAGTTTCTTACGACGAAACTCAATTGCATTCCTAATGAGTAAATTCAATATAATTCATATGGAGTTTCTAATGATCAAACTCAATTGCATTCCTAGTGAGTAAAGTCAATAGAATCGATATTGAGTTTCTTATGAGCACTCTCAATTGCATTCCTAATGCAATTGAAAATCTTGCTCCCCGGTGGTCGCGGTGCTTCGCGCCGCGACCACCGGGGAGCAGGACTGCAGGCGCAAAGATGCGCTCCGATAAGAAACCGAAATCTAGAAACGCGTCTCAAACGCCGTAAAATGCTGCCCCGGGGTTATATCCTGCTAAAAATAGTTGATTTAGGGGTTTTCGATGATGCTCAGCAAGTTTCTAATAAGAACTATATGTCTATTTTCACTAATTAAAAAGTTAACGAATTTCATTTAATCAGCCGACTTATGGCAAAGATGTGGGCACTAGCCCACATCTTTGCCACACCTTGAGTCAGCCAGAACCGTGGAGCCGCCGTAACGACCGGGAAGCGTGCTCGTCTCGCGCACTCCGGAGGCCCGGTGTCGATTAGCACCCAGCTTGAAATGTACCGAATATATTTTCGAAGCCATTAGTTTACTTTGTTTACAGGAACCTCCCTGAGACATTTGGCGTCAATCCGAGCATTTTTTTACGTGTTTTTACCCTTTGAGCCGTAGGCCATTTTTGGCACCATCGCTCGGTCACGCCGCCGACGACGACGGAGTTTTCCACGGGGAACGCTTTCGCGTCCTTCCGGCTGCGCCGCCAGCAGTTCGGCTAGCTACTTAGCAACGATGACGCCGTTGCTATGGAGGCACATGACGCGTCACAGCCAATAAGAATATAGGTGTCGTTTTCACGTTACGCCGGCTTCGCTCCATGAGACACTTAATGTCTCATGGAGCGAAGCCGGCGTTACGGCGGCCTCGCTCCATGAGAAAAACCCCCGAATCTATGCTTGAAACATGTTTGCCGGCAGTTTTTCTACAACCAGTCGTCATTCTAATAAGGAACACGCCTCAGACAGTCTTTAGTATGGCGTACGAGCAGTGGATCAACAAAACCTGTGTCCCCCTCTTTCTGCCAGCACGATCGAGCTAGTGAAAGTTTTTAACCTTGTACTGAGGTTCGATCCGCGTCGGGAGCATTCTAGCTTCATATTCGCGTTTTAATGATGGCTCGTACAGGGACTTTATGCCTTATGCTTTAATCTGCGTGAAACGGCCGAACGCGACGGTCGAGCTTTACAGCCGAGTGTTACGGTCTTGCGTGGAAATAAACGCATAAACGCAATCTATGTTAAAAAGAAACAAAAAAAAAACAGGAACTTTTGTTTTTTCAGTACGTTAACCCGTATACAAGAGCGAAAGAGACAGCGTATACGTGACTTGCATCGACGTAACGCCACAGCTGCGACTGCGGTGGTCTCGTTGATGTGGCCTTCTGCAGGAAAACATTCGGTACCGTCGACCCCGTTTTCCTTGGCAAAAACAAGTGGGACCGACTGCCAGCAGGGTACGATGACGTCAAGCCCAGCACGGTGCCTTTTCTTACACAGAAGCCGCCGTCCCTTCAGTCCGAGCGCAGTGGACGCCACGAGCTATCCGATCAGCGCCGGGAGAAAATCGCGTGGCCTGCCGGTTGGGCAGAGCGACACAGAGAGCTCAAGGTTACATGATGATGACACTCTCTCAACGCTTGATTGGCTGGGATGGCTCCTAGCGCCCGCTGCGCTCGGACTGAAGGTGAAACGGAGTATAATGCATCGTACAAAAGAAGGTCTGCACACGCTGCCAGAGGCATGTTTGTTTTTTGTACGACAATCGCGTCTCATTGGCCGTACAAACACTGCCTGTTGACAGGTTTAAGGCATACACATGTACGAACGGAACATATACTTCGAACATGCGTGAGGAGTGCCCGCAGATTATTTCGTCATCGAGCGACGTCACCGGTACCTAACGCCAAGTGCACAAAGATATCGTAATTAAAAAGGAAAAAAAAAAAAAACTCGTTGCTTATTAAATGTTGTTCTTTTCAAATCATTTTTTTTTTTTTTTTTTTTTTGAAAGGCAGGGCTGCGCGTAGGTGTATTGCGAGGCTGGCACAAAAGGTTAGATCTATTGCCAGACGACCCGCAACACGATGCTTGGCGCGGTCAAATGGCGGCGATGTCTTCTTGTAGCTCTGGCTGCCGGGGCGAGTGTCTCCACGTTCCTTATCGGCAGATACGTAGCGGCCGACTGTCACGGAAGAACCAAGGCTCCCTCTTCACACGGGACAAATTCTCCTCAACCGCCCGATAAGTAAATTATCGATTTCTTTATTATTATTATTGTTTTTTTTGTTTTTTTTATAAACTAATGTCTTCGTTGTAATCTCTTTTCCAGACAACGTTCTACAGGGTGTTCTCGAGTGCTAATCTTGCTTAGACAAATCGATGAATTGAGTGCAATGAAACTTTTCACGAAGGTGCATATAGGTTGTGCATTTATCATACTCAAGTTTTACGAGTGTATACACATAAAAAAAAATATATATATAAGCCGAATTTTTTTTTTTTTCTTTTTCCTTTGCACAGAGAGGGAAATGGCAAAAACCGTTTGGTTCTCACTGCTACTCCCAGATGGCACAACGTGGAGCAAAAACGTGAAAAGCTTCTTTGAGATGAACACCCAAAGCGGATCTAGCAGATTCGAGCGTGTGTGCTGCCGTCTTTTTTGAATAGCAGCGTCAACTAGACCGTTCTTTGCCGTTTTCCTCCCTGTAAAAAAAAAACCAAAAAACAAAAAAACACAGAACTTTCTTTTTTTTTTTTAGGTGGCATTTTTTGGGGGGGTACTTGCACTCGTGAAATTTGAGTAAATGCATCTCATAAAGACACTTTTGAGAAACGTGTTAATGCACAGAATATTCTTTTGCTTAGATTTTACAACGTTCAGATCGCGGTCAGAATCATCCTCTAATGGTGTACTAAGAAGGTTTCTGACTGTTGTTTAAAACTATACGCCTTGACCCACTTGCTGTACAACGCGCGCGCACGCACGCACGCACGCACGCGTGTGCAAAAATTTTATTTTTGTGCGCGCCCCGACAGCTGCATGCCGCTCCGCCGTTGAAGAAATAGGTTTTTATTTTCTTATTTACTTTGTACTAGGAGCTCTGACTTGAAATTTTAACACAACAATATAACCAATTAAAGACATTTTCGAGAAAAGTTTCTACATGATCCGTCAAGTTTTTTTTATATTTTTGCAAACCATTTTAACGTGTTCTTTTTTTTTTTTTTGTAACAACCTGTAGGTGCTACAAGCGCCCATATTAGCCGCGTTCGATTTACTTACACCTCCTGCACCGGTGCAGAAAAGTGTCATAGAGTTACAGTGTACTAGAATGCTTGGGTAGTGTTGGGACCGGAAAGGCTCGCCTGAAGCGCGTGGTATTGATCGCGACAGGTGACGACACCGGCGCGTTATCCAGAAGGTCTGCGCGTGCGCGGCTGCACGTGCGAAATTATGAATCTTTGGTGCCGCTTTGGTGGAGTGCGCGTAGGATTTCTGATACAGCTACGATCTGCCAGCGGTCGTACCGCGGCATCAATTACGCTGCGGCACGATCGTTAGCAACATGATGCTTCAATGTATTGGACGGTACAAGCTACATTACCCTTCCTTTACATAAAAAATAATTGCGACTTTAAAGAAGCGGATTGCAAGTTGTTTCAGCGTAGAATTAGCTGCGACTTTCGGTTTGTCGGGTGGCGAGCACTTTAAATGAAATGCCCATTTCCTTGGTCGCAAAGGCCGAACATTAGATATTTGAAAGAAATGTCTAAAACTCGGAAGCAGCTTTTTTTTTTTTTTTTTTTCTCTAACTTATTTTATAATGGAACGAAACGGCACATACTAAAGTTCGAGATTGTTTTAGTATGCTTTTAATACCCAATGTTAACTTCTCTGTCTTCTTTTCGGCCCGCTTTCTTTTTCTTCAACTTAATCAGCTCGCTTCACTTGTCACTCATTCTTGTGTTCATTTATGCGACGAACCACCCAAGCGACGGTCGCAAAAGATATGAGAATCTTTTATTTCTTCATGGCTGCCACGACCATCCGAGGACCACCTGACGTTCACTTGTAAGAAATGGTTTATAGCCGCGACAATTTTTATCACACGTTTTAGCATTGAACTTAAGTCCATATAAAATGAGACAACATGGGTTGAACAAGTAATGCTTTATAAGATTCAAAGAAAACAAGCAACTATTTCACATCATTTTGATCAGAAAACATAAGCACACGTAGATCAGAAAAGGAAAAAGTTGTAATAGTTTACAGCACGGCATTGAAATAATGGTTACAATGTGCAGCGCATACATGGTTACAATATGCAGCGCATTATCCTCTTGAGGGTATACACCATCTGAAACCTACACGCTCATAACAATACATTTAACCGACAGCTGCTTTCTGACAACCAGGTAACTCTCGCCTGAGCTGGGTATTCGAAGGGAAGACCCATGGTTCCACAGGGGGCGCATCTGGTTCACGCAGACGTACAGGGTGTTTTTGTTTTATTCTTCACAGAACTTCACATATTTTACAAAAAAAGGGTGTGGCAGATATGTGGATGCCGTCTTTCGTTATATCTGTAGGGCTCGTTGGACAATAAACGGGTGAATAACCGTTGCAATGTTTAATAATGAACCGAAATTTGTTAGTTAACTTGTTTATTAACGGCTTAAATTGCCATGGTGCGATTGCAGTTTTAAAAGGAGTCATTATTAAAGGCAAACACAATTTCGACAATTCGCGAAAAGGCAACGAGGTTAGCGAAATTTATCATAAAAGTTTGTCTTTCTTCGCTTGATTCAGAAACGGCGTTATGAAAATAATGCGTAGAATAGTGACTTAGTCGTCTTGATGTGTGGCGCCGGCGAGTCCACCGAAGACACGCTGTCGAGTTAGTGACGAGGGGACAGAGACAACTGTGTCATTCTTCTACGCATCAATATCAGCACAACCTCATTCGCGCTTTCAGCGCGCGGTTTTTTAATTAAGTGAAGAAAGGCAAAATATTAGCGATGAATATCTCAGGACAGAACGAGCGGGTTGGTAGAGATAATTAAGCTTGAGGAAGAAAACGAGAAGGGACGGACAAACACAACAAAAACGAGCGCCTTGTTGCTGTCGCTCAAAGCTCGTTGTTTTTTCGCGAACTTTCTAAATTGGGTTGGCCTTTAATAATGACTCTCTTTAAAGCTGCAATTGCAACCTGGCCCCTTAAATCGTTCATTATCCCTTTCCCTACCGCAAAAATTAAAAAAAAAAAAAAGATTTGAAAATACCGATTTTTTTTATCTGTCCTATACTCTGTTTCACCTTGTGTTGTACCGCAGGAAAGGCTACGAGCGCGAGCTCCTTGCTCTGGGACACATCTCGGCGGCACAAGCTCCCGTGCACCAAGGGCAGCTGCTAACGCTATAAGCTCGCGCTTCTAGTGAAAAAAAAAAAAAAAAAGCGGGCTGCGCGATTTTCTTTGGATAACTCGACTACAGCGCCGCCACGAACTGTCAATACACGCGCCCTCACGAACTCCCGTTGCCGAGCCGCTCCGGTCCCAACACTACCTAAGTATTCTAGTACACTGTAATAGACTATATATGGTACACTGTAATAGAGTACATTATAATAACTCTATGAAAAGTGTAGAGCGGTATACTTCCGGTCGTATCTCAATACACATACCGGAAGTCGACCGCCCTACAGTTTTCTGCACCGGTGCAGGAGGTGCAAGCGTGCAAGTAAATCGAACACAGCGACGACATTAGGCTTAGCTGGACGTCGGCTCATAGGGGTGGTGCACGAAAGCACCCGATGTCAGAAACCCCGTGTCATATGCCCCGCTTTCAAAAGCCCCTAACGCGAATCCCCCTTGTCAGGTAGCCATGTCCTCAGCGCGAGGGAGGAGCATTCTGCTTTTAACTAAGAGACAGTAAGTGTGCACGCGAGCTTGTGTAACAATTATGCCGCACCCGGGACTCAAGAAAGAAATAATCGGATAAAGCTTCCCGTTCTTCAGGCGTACATTATACACATTCACGTCTTGTGACGTTAGAATTGAGAACAAGCAGAAAATATCAGTCACTGGCAAAACATTTAAAGTTACAGTTTTTATTAAATAAGCATTGAACCATAGTTTTCGAGGACTCTGAAGCACACGCGGATTCACAGTTCCGACGGTTCTGTCTAAACTGCTAACCCGCAGCTCATAGCCCTGCACTTGTTACGTACACAGCATCAAACACCAATTCCATTCGTACGTTGTCCTAAAAATATTTGTATCCATCCATAGGTGGATAAAGTCTATAATTCTACGTCTGAGTATACTTGAATGACAACAGAGTGCATCGCTGGTTATCCAGATTTATGCAATGGACCTTTTCCAAATACCGCCGGCACCAGGCGGTGGCTGCACGAACTAAAAATCGAGGAAGTGACTATACCTGCGCTACCAATCGATAACGGGAGCTACGCTACCAGTTGCTTCGCTCTCTGAGCGCTCTGAGCTGCGTCGCGTGCCCAACGCGTCTTTAAAGGGCAACTCCGGCCAAAACTCAAAATGAAATAAATTACTGGTATCGCTTTAGTGACACAAAATACGACCCCAGCCAAAACATTACGTCCAGGGGACGCCGCATTCTCAACTAATGCCGATAATAAAAACGCGACCCGCCGCGAGCCCCTGCTCCTTAGCGGGCGGGCAGTGGGTTGCCGATCGCTAAAGCAACATTGGGCCGTGATGTCAACATCGTTCTCTTTTTTTCCTCCGTTCCGGACGGGAGCACGGCGCAGCCGTAGCGCGCGCTTCTTTGTGCCGCTATTACCGCTACTTCGGCTTGTAATTGCGTGTTTAGCCGTTGCTTTTACCTGTAGCCCGTGTAGCTTCGGTATAGCCTTTTGTTTATTTGCTTGTGAGGTCTCCTATAGACTCGTTTTAGCGAGCAACTCGGTGCGCCCAAGACTGCAGCTGTTCCTCGAAAGATGCCGAGTACAACTTAAAGCGCTGTGGGCTGCTCAAACAAGCCGCTGCGCAACCGGGAGGTGCTTTTTCACAAGTTTCCAACGGATCGGAAATTGGAGAAGGTGTGGGTGAACGCTGTTCGACGAGTGGACTTTGGAAAGCCTTGGACGTCGACCCCCAGATCGAAGCTCTGCTCCGATCATTTTTCGCCGGAGAGTTACGAACGAAACCTACGGGTGTTGGTTGCTTGTGGCTTGTCAGCGAAGGGGTCGAGGCTTAATAAGGATGCCGTGCCGTCGCTCTTTGCCCATCGTACATGTACAGAAAAGGTAAACATGATAAAAGTATCTTGATCAATAAATAAAACAGTCCTTGTCAAGTGCAGTGTTGAAGATTGAGCATTCATGCTCCATTGAATGTCTGTTGAATGGGGAATGATGGGCATGTAGAGTACAACCTCTAACTAGCTCCAAAAACTGAGTTTGTAATGAAAACGAAAACAATGTTCTGCTTTGCGTCACTGCTTGTTTACTGCGCAATCTCGTGCGTAGTATTCAGGTCCGTAACGACTACTAGCGAACAGCCGGCGCGTGAAGCTCATGCGATATAAACATTCGCCTCCCAATCGTTCCAACCCGTTACGCAGCAGTATTAATTAACTTTGCTCCTGTGAATACCACAAGGGACTTTAAAGAAATCGTGAAAGTTCGGATTTGTAAGTTACAACTCTCTAATTTGCCCGAGTTCGGCTGGAGGTAAATATAATACTTAAAAATGCAAAAAAAAAAAAAACACTTGCCTGTTAAAAGTTACGAAGGAAAACTTAAAATCCTATGTATTCTAATAAAAAAAAAATTGTTGTGGGTGGGGGTGGGAATGCGGAAGGGAAAGAAAGTGTTCTCACCTTGCTAACGGAGTCTGTTTTCCTTTATCACCCACAAAAACTTTTGCTAGCTTTGAAAAGAAAATTACTGCCCAAAGAACTTTTTCTTTCTTTTTTTAGTGCGGAAAGTTTTTTTTTATTTGTACAAAGATCCACTACCTGGACGAATTTATGTGGTGAATTAGTGTCGTAGCTTACAAATTCGGCTTTTGCGCGCCTGAGGAAAAAATAACGAAAAAACAGACGTCTACAGCTTGACACACGTCTGTTCGGTTGTCGCGGAACGCGCCGCAGAGCCTCCAAGCTTCGTGTCTGGGACTGACCCGCCGCGCGAAAGCGCCAACACTGTACGTCACTGGCAGCGCGGCGTAGAGCAACGCCGCTCCATCCACGGAGCCCCGATGACAATTTAGGCCTAGCGACGAGTGCGGGAGACCGCACGCACGCCGACAGCTGCCGAGTACGGCGACGAACGAGTTCACTCGTTTTCCAGTCGCTAGCTTTCGGGTATACAAGCAACGAGTACGGCACGGCATAGCGCACGCGCGGCGGCGGCCGCCGAGTACGCCACCGAACGAGTTGACGGGTTTTCCAGTCGCTAGCTTTTGGGTATACGCACTAACTCTTGCTACATATGCTGGATAACTACCACATATACAGAATTAAAACAAAATCAGTTTACCTTTATAACCTTTAGACGACTAGCGCAACAGAGGTAGGTGCCGCTTGGACTGCGTACTCGCTGAACGAGAACGATCTTGGCGTCACGTCCACATAGCGGCTGATTTCCAGTGTTGCCGGAACCTCGAGCGGCTAGTTTCGGTTTTGTCGGTCGCGCCCCGAACAAAACTTTGAGACGTCGATATCTTTAAAACTACGCACAACAACGAGAAAAATATTACACCTTGCAACTCAGGGGCGCTAACTGCACTAAAAACAGCCATAATCCCAAAATCGAAAGTATGGACCGGAGTTGCCCTTTAAAGAGGGAAATCCGTAGCGTCCCCCCAAACGTCGTGTTTTTGTTTTCGTCCACTTTCTTTTTTTGTGTAACACAATTATATATATGCTGCAATTACGTGTTCTACTCGTCGATCTACAACCTCATTCCAAATTTCCTCGATTTTTCGTGCCGACTTCCACCGCTTGGCGTCGGGCGCTCGCGCGTGCGAAGAACGTTTCTCGGAAAAGGTCCATTGGCCACTTATAGTACGTCATTCTAAGTTTTTCTGTTATACATGTTAACCTTATTTTGCTGTTTCTTTCACTTGAAAGACCCTTTGTAGACCCTCAACGGATTGGGTAAAGGCATAGAAGAATGCTGGTTGAAGCGCGAAGAGGGTGGGACCGGGGCAGTGACGACGGGGCTTTTGATACGGGACGGGGTTTTCGAAACGTAGGGCTAATGGCGCGGGGCTTTTGCGACGGGGATTCTGCACGCGGGGCAATCGTGCTTCACCCGCTCGTAGATACATATAGAATTTTTTTTTTAAATATTTTTTATTATTTTCTGGTTTAGGTAACGTCATCTCAAACTTTCTTGTTTTATCCGAACCGCTGGTGTCACATCTCACGGAGTTTGAGCTTCTTGCGATGAATAGTTTATTCATCTGGGCCGAAAAACACGATTCCATTTTCTCGGGAACTACCTGTGCTATTGGAACATTTGTAGACGAAGATTTCGGTGTTCTAAATGCCTTACCTGTGTTCGTTTTCGCTCAGGGGTCCAGTCAAACTTGCTGTAATAACTTGCGGTGACCGTCTCAACATCACCCTGACTAACCTCAAGTCCGCCGTGGCCTTCTCCAGAGCTCGTCTGCATCTGTATTTATACACGGATGATGCCAACTCTCGACTTATTCAAGACGGGGTAAATGTATAAGGTTTACGGTATATACTTATATGCAAGATGTGCTAATGAAGGCACCGGTTCCACGGCGGTCATCTTGAATTCTTACCAAAAACTGTTATTAGAAGAAATATGAAATACACACGCAATATCACCTTTGCTGTCATCTTGAGATTCTATGGCACGCCATTAAAGTCACATGCTAATCGCAGATTAGCATGTTACTTTAATTCGGCAGATTTGTTTAAGTGCTGGGGCATGCCTCAAGGGTGTGGATTATGTTTTATCTATCTTGAATGTTTTATGTTTTCCTTTCTGTTCCTTGCAGTAATCAACTTCAGTTGCCAGTCAGCGTTGCGTTCGTTCACTTCTTGTTCTTGTTTATTTCGCGCTGTTTCCGAGTTTTCATAAAGCACCAACTAGCCCAACTTCACGCCTTGTTACATGCTAATCAGTTTATTAGATAATAAACTAGTAAATATTGCCCATGCAGTTCTTATTTCTTTTCTAATATTAAATTTAAAAGAGTGATGATTTTACACCGCGTACTCAGTATTATAATAAAGAAATTCACGACAGATTTCTTGAAATTTTTTTTTGAAATGGTTTTAAGGAATAAAACACTTTGTGGTAAATTACTTTTTTAACGCGATTTGAAACAAAGTATGTTAAAAATCTTTCGCCCACTTTATTATAGCGCTGAGTACACGGTGTAAAATTAACACTTTCTTAGCATTAACATTGGAAAAGAAAAAAAGAAGAGAAGCAAAGATAAATATTTACTCGTTCATTATCATGCTAGCAAAGTTTCTTGCGAGCATCCATTTTTATATTTATCTTACTAAATTAAAAACTGTTTTGTACCCATTCAAAAAGGCCGCAAAGGAACCGGAGCCTTGACGTGCACCAAGCTTTAAAAAAAAAAAAAAAACCACGGAGCTCTCTACGCCAATATAGCCAACTGTGTGTTCTTAGCATACGTTTTGCGAAATGGCAGTGTTTTTTATTGAGCGCTATCATTGAACTAATTGAGGCTTAATAGCTACAACTTTCCAACTGACAGCTCGACTTTTAAATGAATATTTAGAAATTTATCCAGTTTGTCTTAATTAAGTATCAATTATGCTCAATATAAATGCGCAAATTACTTACAGTTTTCCAAGACGCTTGCTAACAACAGACAGTTTGGTTTGCGATAAGGTCTTCCTTATTTTCTTTTAGACCTTGGAGCATTGGGACACCCCGTACAAAAAACAAATTTACCGGAAAAATGACGCCTTTTGAGTGCTGCCGCTATGTGCTCCTTCTCCAAAAGGCGTTTGAAGGCAATAATCGCAGTTTTGCGGCGACTCAATTTGCTTCTTGTGTTTGTTCCAGATCTCGAAATGGCCAACCAAGTACCTCGAGCGCATCAGCTACGATGTCCGACCGGTCAAGTTTCCGGACGAGGCCTCGGGCAAATGGACCAAGACGTTCATGCTGTGTTCCTCCCTGCGACTATTCCTTCCCGTGCGTAAGCTCTAGTCACAAAACATTTGCGGCACTGTGCTTCGGTCGTATCTGGCAAAAATCCCTCCCCCCTCCTCCCCGTAGGACATGTTTTTGGTGCGCAAATCGTGGTGCACCTTATACGCCAAAAGCGCACTGTTTACAAACAAGCCCGCGTTGGCCCACACCAAACCAGATTCGCATGAGGCAAAGCTTCTGCGAAGTGCCGACCGCGGCGCCTCCGTAGTGGCGTGATGTCAGGGAGGGGTCCCGAAGGGGTCCTGAAAGGGGTCCTGAAGGGGTTACGAAGAAGTCCTGAAGGGGTCCCGAAGTACGGCAACGAATTGCGTCACAGAAGCCGGCGGGTCATGTTCTCGGATGTCGTGATCCTGTGCAACTCAAGAAGCTGGGGCGAGGGTAAGACGGGCCGGAGAGGAGGAAGCAGACAAAACGCTGGAGAAGAGAGGGGAAACCTCCTTTTCTCTTTAGCTTTCCGTCTGCTTCCTCCTCCCCGGCCTCTCTTACCCTCGGTCGCTCTCTTCGCAGCATTCCAGTGCGTTCGCTTGCAATGTAATGGCGGACGCTTCTTGCTCCGATTGATCGCAAGCGCATGCACACTTGCGGTTAGGTGAGTTCTGCGGCGAGGGTGGCATGGTATGTAGGGCGATAATCGTTGCGATAAATCGAAAAATTAACTGAAATTCCTTAATGAACTTTTTTTACTTATTCAAAACAGTCGCATGGTTCCAATTAGAAACATACTGAGCGTCATCGAAAACCACTGAATGAGTAAATTTTAGAAATACCGTCAGCGCATGGGAACCGCAGTAGTGCGCTAAACTTACCACTTGAGCAACAGGCCCAAAGCTGCGGCCATTGTTGTATGCGTTACCGAAAAAAAAGTAACGAAATACGTTACTCGTTACATGAACCTACGTTACATTAAAATCAAAGAAACGCGTTACAGTTACCATCACCGATAAAAAGTAACGCGCGTTACTTTTGCGTTACTTTTAAATTATGAATTAAGACGTTTCACTGTTCTCATGCTACAGGCACGCATAGGTGCCCGTAGTTCAAGAAACATTATGTTCATCCAAAAACTGAACATAAGTACTTTGTCCTTTTTACGGTTTCACTTAAATATGCACGAAAAAAAAAAGCAAAGAAAAACGTAAACTTCAAAATCCATATAGCTTGGCGCCTAAAACAGAAAAAAACTTGAAGTGTAATTTTTTATATCTTGGGAAGAAGGAGTAACCAGTAACGTAACTTACGTTACCCGTTACTTGAAATAAGTAACCTAGGTTCGTTCCCCGTTTCGGTTTTCAAAAGGTAAAGGGTACGTTACTATGTCACCGAAAAACGGTAACGCGTCACCAGTAACGCCGTTACTTATAACGAGTTACCGCCGAAGAGACGGAAAAGCATCGCTGGCGCGTTATCGCACCGGTAGCCTTGCTTCTGCTGCACGAGGGGTAACTTTAGTGCTCCACCGTTCTTTATACGTTCTCCAAGTCTCTCTTATATTGACTGATTTATCGATTTTTGATGACGTTCAACAAGTTTCCAATTAGAGCAATTCGTTTCCTTTCAACAATTACAAATTTAATGAACATATTTAGTTAATTAGCTGACGAATCGTTACGATTACCCCCCTATGTAGCTGTCAACAACCTGTATGTTGTTCCCGCGGTTGTAACGATTTTGCGTCTCGTTTTTCCGTCTTCTTTTTTGCATCTCGTTTTTGCGTCGTATGTTTTTTTCTAGATCGTCACAATTTAAGAAATAGGTGCAGAATATTTCTCGTTTTGAATTCGGAAGCTTTATCCCATCGCTCGTTGCCATTTCGAACGACACTTGCACTGCAGTATCGTAATCGGGTGTTCTGGTTTTAGATGTTACTTTCTGACGCGACTCTGTGCAACAAATCGGAGTTTATTTCCCCAGCATAAAAGCGACGTGTATCGATGTTTATTCTACTTGTTCGTGATTTCTGCACCTAAACATGGTGAAGCAGCTGTAGTGCTCAAAAGTAAAATCGGTTAAGCAAGTCAACAGCAGTTGCAGTGCCCGTGAGTGCAGCGATAGGAATATTCAATCAATTAATCAATCAGTGTTTATCATAGTGTCCAGGAACAACCTTGCGGTCTTGGTACTGGCATACTGAATGGAAATGAATACATAAAACTCACAAATAGAGAAGACCAGTGCACTATACAGTAAGTGTATATAATCATACACGACACACACTGAGCTTAATTATAACAAAATACAATTTCTAGGTCTTGTGTACAATGATGAGAAATTGCACTAATGTAAAGCAAGTTTGAGAGGCACTCAAAACGAATAATATACGAAGCAGTAGTACAAGCAGAGACCCACGAATGGCTGTGCTTTCCGAAATCAATTTTAAAGTGAACCAGAATCATTATTCACCCGCCGGACAGGCCTTCAATAGAAATAACAAATGCCCTGTAGCACGAGTTAAAAATATGGAGTTTCTCAGAGTATACTGGTTATAACACTCAGTCAGTCTAAAAATTGGGCTTAAAAGACTAACATTTTTGGAAATATAAAATGATGGTTGATTCCGAGTAAACAGACCTAGAACCCTAAGGCACACTTCAAACAAGAAGCTTGGTGAATTAATCAAACCATGCAACGTTTTAGACAAAAACAATAGGTCCGCCTCCAGCCGAAGCCAGTGCAGGCTAAGCAAATCAACACGCTCTAACGTTGCGTCATAAGTTGAACAATGAACATCCTTCATAAGGTAGCGATGTTGAAAGATGGAAATGAACTTTTTTCTGAACTCGTTCGATTTCCAGTGAGTTGTTTTAGAGATTCCGTTCCACACAACAGGCATATTCCAACTGGGGCATGCTTAACGAGCGGTACAATGGGAGAAACGCAGAAGGATGCTTAAAGTCCTTTGTTAAGCGAGAGGCAACACCCAGCGTGCGCAGATACGAGTTAACGAGCCTATGGTCACGTGACTAGAAAATCGCAGGCTAGGATCGAACATAACTCCCAGATCTTTCATTGCACATACTCGGGACAGGGGTTCACCATAAATACTACTAAGGTTGAAGCCTGGTCGAGTTGGTGTGACATACTTAGAAGGTTAAAACAGGCGCGCATACGACAACGGACAGGGTAAAGAAGGACACAGACAGAGTGCTGTCTCGCAACTAAATTTTTATTGAACTCAACGGTGCAATATATACGCACAATTGAGAACAAAAAGAAGAAAACCAGCCTGATTTTCTTCTTTTTGTTCTCAATTGTGCGTATATATTGCACCATTGAGTTCAATAAAAATTTAGTTGCGAGTCAGCGCTCTGTCTGTGTCCTTCTTTACCCTGTCCGTTGTCTTTTACGCTGTTTCAACCTTTTAAGCATAACTACTATATGCGAAAAATGTACTCTGTGCCATCCCAGTAAATGTCATAACCTTGGTTTTAGCACGGTTTAAGAGAAGGTTATTGGCTGAGCACCACCTAAGGAAAGAACATGCATCTTCCTGAAGCCTAGCACAATCACCTAAAGTAACTATTTCTGTAAATTTTAATGTCATCGGCGTATTGCAGGAACGAAGAATTAGAAATAGCATCAGAGACGTCGTTTACAAAAATTGTGAACAGGAGCGGCCCTAGGACGGATCCCTGAGGAATGCCATAAAATTGCCCCGTAAAATGATGAGTTCATATTGTTGACTCGAACGTATGCTTTCCTGTTTGACAAACAGCTTTGAAACCAGTCGTATACTGTGCCACAAACCCCGTAGGCGGAAAGCTTTGATAAAAGGATCTTATGATTTACAACGTCAAATGCCTTGCTTAGGTCAAAGTAGACCACGTCCAGCTGACCTCTGTGCAGACTACCTGGGATGACGTTGACATAAAACCTACAAGATTTGTTGTCGTTGATCTGCCGGTCTTAAACCGATGCTGATTAGGGAGGGTTAAGTTTCGAAATTTGAAAGACAAGGATTGATGAACGACTGTTTCAAAGAGTTTGGAATATGAAGAGAGAAGGAAAATCGGTCTACAGTTGAGAACATCACCTTTCTTTCCCGACTTCAGAACCGGAACGACCACGGCAATCTTCCACTTTTCGGGGAGTACTCCTGACCTTAATGAGTTGTTAAATATTGTACAGTGTAGCTGTAAGTACATCATGAAACGTTTTGAGAATTGCAGATGGTATACCAGCGTGCCCCACAGATTGCGTGGCTTTCATTTTTTTAATACCTAGCTCTACACATTCCTCGTCGACATTAATGTAACTTAGCAGGTCACCGAACTCATTCAGGTGAGTCAATGTGGCGGAGGAGCCGACGCTACTGTCTTTGTAGGCACAACTAAAATGATCTGCAAATAGCTCGGGCACGCACTCCGCATATCTCTCATGGCGATCCAAAACTATTGTCGATCCGATGATCCTTTTCGGAACGTGATCTAGTGGATATAAAAAATTTCTTATAGTCTTTGACAAGGTCAGACTCCATTGAGTCACGATACGCCAGTCGGTCACGGTTTAACATTATCTTACATTTCTTTCTGCAACTCTTGGAGTGGTCTCCCAAAGTGGGAGGTAGACTCCCACTTTGGAAGACTACTTTTTTTTTTTTAAACTTTCTGCGCAAGTCTTTTCTTTTTAGTAGCGTTCTTAGTTCATTAGAAACCCAATTAGGAAAGCGAGATTTCTTTAAAGATCTTAAAGCGATTAATCCGTCCATGGCCTATCGAATTAATCTCGTAAAAAGAGCTAGCTACCTGCTAATTTGCATCAGACGATTCTAAGACCGGAGACCAATCAACACTCGAGAGGTGGTGGAACATACCGATTTTAGTCTCCTGATGAAAAATTGTATAAGATGCATGGAAGGGAAGCCTTAATAGGAGCACGAGTCGAGGAATCATCAAAAGAAAGCCCTAAGTCAAGGGCAGGATGATACTTATCCAGAGGAACCATAGGGACTTCACTTCGGGTTACACGCACGCAATCCATGTTTGAGAGGCATAAATCTAAAGCATTACCTTGGTGGTTAAGAATATCGTTGTGTTGTGCAAGTTCTAAAAGAAACAAAGTTTAGGAGGTCGTTGCCTTTCTCTTTTTGCAATAAAAGTTGTTAGTAGAAACATTAAACTGCGTCCAGTTAATGCCCAGAGTATTAAAATCAACTATGATTAAGACAGTGCACCCGTGTAACTCGTTAACGGTGTTCTCGATGCCAGCGAGACACGTGCAAAAGTCGTTGGACGTCGTTTGCGGAGGTATGTAAAAAAGGCCAATAAGAAGGCGTACTTTTTTTACATAACAATCAATGAATCCATCAATTGATCAGTGTTTATTATAGTGTCCAGGAACAACCAGTCGGTCTTAGTGCTGGCACAATAATATAATATTATACTATTATTATTATTATTACTATTATTATAATTTTTTCGAGCTCAGCTCTCAGGCGCCAGTTTCCGGCTTGAGCGGCGTTGCCATCGCCGTCGTCGTCGGCGTAACCGTGCGTTGCATTATGGGACGTTTCTTATAATGACGACACACGTTACGTCACGTGTGACGCCACGAGGGTTGCCCTCGCGCGAATTACGAGGGTTACTCACGACGGTTACGAAGGTTACCCTCATGAAAGTAACCCTCGTGACCCTCCTGAGGGTCACGGGAGTAACGTCATGACGTTACCCACGTGACGTTACACGTGACGTCCCGTGTGACATCAGTATAAAAAACAGGTGACGTATGAACACGTGACGTATGTCCGCCTACCGCCGTTTGAAGTGCAATCTAGATTTTCGTTTCATAATTGTGTTTTCTATAGAGCCAGAACCGTGTGAGAGAGTTTGGAAATTCATTTGGTTTGAATAGGCGAGCACGTCGCGGCTAGAGTGCCTTCATGTTGAAATCACCCTAGTCGCGGCCTACCAGAAGCCGTGAAACAGCCCCTAGCGGTGGTCGTGAGCTCTAAGAATGTGTCGACTAATTTAAGCCGTCTTAGCGTCGCTAGAGTAAAAAGGTGGAACTCTCGGTGACTGGAAACTTGACGCATGTGAGGCTTTCGTAACGTCAATATTCAACGGTAGAATAAATGAACGTGCGCTCCAAACCGGAGCAAACTATGGAGTCTCGATTGTCGCTGCTGCAAGATTGAGCGCTTCTATTTCGCGCTTTAAATGTCGTTTCCAATATTCTGACGTAGAGGTCTGCTGTGTCGCAATTTGGCGAAAAAGTATTTCCGCTAAATTTACCCTCGTGACGTCACGTGTACGTCGCACGTGACGTCACGAGGGTAAAATTTTTCCGCTAAATTTAGTGGAAAAGGAAGAGGGGCATACACTCCCCTTCAAACCCTCTCCCCCTCCTCCTCAATAGCTGCGCTCTAATTCGGCGTTACAAAAAATTTAAACGTCTTTCATTTTTTTATTTATTATTATTATTAATATTATTATCGCTGCACTCACTTTCGGACACCGCAACTGCTGCTGACCTGTTTAACCAATCCTTCCTTCGATTCCTTACTTTCCGTCTTCTTGCTCCCATCAGAGTATGTTGCCGAATGAGGATGCCGTGCTGTACGTCGACTCGGACATTGTGTTCCTTCGTCCCGTTGAAGAGCTCTGGAGCTACCTGGGAGCGATGGACTCTCAACAGATGGTGGCGATGGCGCCCCATGCGGAGGACGCAAACGTCAGCGCGTACACCAGATACGCCAAGCATCCCTTCGTTCTGCCGTACGGTGCGTGAGAGGTCACCCCTGCTTCTCTACACCACACAAAAGACACGCCGCCCTCTGCAGGCACGATGACAGAATTATCTGCGCCTCGAGTTTGTTCGAAGCAGGTTTTGCTTCGTATATGCTTCTAGCATGTCTGCAGACAGTTTTTGTACGACCAATCTGACCGTCATACACGAGGAAGAAAAAGGCTTGAGATACACCTAAGCACTTCTTATGAGTTGTGAATACGAAAGCACGCACGCCGCTCTTCGCTCCCTTCTTTAATCTGCGGCGTACAACGCGCGGACCTTGGGCGTGGAACGGAGGAGCCGCTGCCACGCGGACACGCAGCGCCATCGGGTGAGCGATTGTTCAAACTGTCGTGTGCCTTGCGGCGCGAGGAATGAACAGACAGCAACGTAGTTCCCAGCAGAACGAACACCTTGGTTTATTCCATGGGCCGTATATATTGCCACGCGCCGTACAACCGATAAGAGGCGAGCGAACGCGGTGATCACTGATAACACAACAGTGTGAGAACACAGTCTGGATGACACCACTCAAACTGACGCGCAGCGGCCAATGGGAGCCTCGTCGACGCGCGCCAGCTAATGGGACCGAAGCGTAAAAGGTGCCGTTGGCTAGCTTTGCGCGTTGTTTCATTAAGGTGCCGTTTTGCATGGTTTCAGAGCTGAAGATGTCGGCTCCCTCCATGAGACAGTTAATGCTTTCGCATTAAAACGCCTCAGAGGGCAGACTGTTTTTTGTACTTTGTGCTGGCAGTGTGACGGCGACCCTGCGGAGGTTGAGAACAGAAAAGAGATCTCACAGCACGGCCCGTATTGCCATGTAGAATTTCTCTCGGAGGCCTCCTCAGAATTCTTCGGGAAACTGCACATGCCTCTACGTGCGCTGACGATACGTGTTGCTTGTGGGGCAGGTCTCTTTGTACGTATAAAAGAATCGAAACTACAGGAAGTCACAGAGATAGCGGCGCAAGGCATACCTTCGCCACCGTGGTCTGTACATATGTCGTCGGATAAGTAAACAGTAATGGCACTCAGTCTATATATACTATATATATATACGAACAAAGAGCAAAAGTTTGAAAATGTATTACCGTATGTCACGAAACAAAAATTTTGGGGGGTCATCTTCAATGAGCAGATGACATGGAGACCCCCTCCCCTCCTCCACAGTGAAGCACCCGAATAAGAAAAAAAAAATCGCCCGGCGTAGACAATTTGTCAAATGCAATGAAGGCGTGAGATACGGTAGTACTAATACGCAGTTCCTCCTACCCTACTGCGGAGCCTCCGTTCTTATACGCATCGGAGGAGGGGAAGAGGGGATGGATAGCGCACTGCTTACTCCCTCCCCCCTCCCTCCTCCACCCCACTCCGCGCGGCGCAGCGCCATTGGTGGCGCGCGCTATGACATCAGATGAACCGCTGCATTCAGCTGCTGACATTTTGCCCCACGGCCCCGCTACGACGCGACCAACACCAATACGAGCAAGCAGGGTCCACGCAGGGCGTTGAAAAGCTCACCCCATTCAAAGAAGTAATCAGGAGGATCGCTACTTGCGTTGGAGGAGACGCAAATAAATAGGCTTCAACAATTTGCAGGTGTTAACGCCGGACTGATGCTGATGAACCTGACTCGGATGCGCAACTTCGGCTGGGAGTCGCGGCTGGAGCCCATGTACGAGAAGTACAATCGGCCCTTCGGAGACCAGGCCCTGGTGAACATTGTGTTTCACTTCTTCCCGGAAAAGCTGATGATGCTGTCGTGCAAGTGGAACTTCCGGCGGCTCACCAGCTTCGTGGAGTCCACTTGCGGCGGGGACACACCCGCCTTGGTGCACGGAACCGGCCACAGCTTCACCTTGCCCCAAAAAATGCCCGCCATCAGAGCCGTCTTTCTGTCCATGCTAAAGGTATACGGACGAGCTGTGTGACTACGTCTGTATTGAGCAGGCGTTCAAAGTGTGCAAATTCGTCTGCTTCTTCCACGGGGATTTCGACGTTGTCAGAACACTGAGCTCTTATTGGTTGATTAAACAAACAAAAAAATAGTGTGTAAACCTCGAGGTATCTCGCATTGCCATCTACCCACTATCCGGCGTCACAGCGACCCCTGCGCAAGAAGCAGACGACTTGCTTTCCGCATAGACGTTTGCGAACAAAGGTTCCCGACTGGTGTCCAATGCATGCAAGCCAGGCAATTATCCAGGAAGGGGAAGAAGGGGGGGGGGGGACATGCGGCCTGCCCCCCCCCCCCTATTTGGTAACGAAATTGTAGCATTAGAAATTACTTCCGAGAAAAAGTAACGTGGCAATTACAAGTAACGGATTACTTGTAATCCGTTACTTGTGACGGGTTACTTCCCAAGTCTGACCTGGTGCAAGCACGTGCAGCAGCATGCGCGTGAAGGTTGCTTTGGCAGGCTTACACTTGCGCGTGCTTGCTCACACAAACGAAAACATGGTGGCTCTCAGATGCCTTGTTGGCAATCGTCTCGACGTCAACTATTTTGTGCTAACTCGTGAAGGTTAGCCTTGTACACCAGAGTTCCGCAGCCTGAGAAAGCATGTGCGTGACTTTCTCTTACATGCGTACGCGCTCGGACAAGATAGCTTTGACAGCGTTGGAGCACCGCGGAAGCTACAGTAGTCGTACTAGCCGTACGACAATCCGTATACCACAAAATATTTGACGCCGAGTACAGACACTTTACACACACCCCAGACTACAGCCGCCACTGCTGATCTTCTCTTGTTTTATCCAAGTTTTACTAGGGTGCCTTCATATACTCTTTGTTTAGGGTGATGACATCTGGCCACTTTGTTCCGAACAGTTGTTTTATATTCCTGCACGCGCTTTTAGCGTTGAAATGCGCCACGGCGACATTTTGTTTTCGGTGATTTTTTTGTATTTTCCCACTGTAAGCGCGGGCGGTCGGCATCGAGTACTAGAAAGGACATCATCACCCTAAACAGAGACATACTAAGGGGGGGGGGGGGGGGGGTGTTGAGATACGGGAAAAGGGGGTAAATTTCCATGCGTACTATTATTCACCCTAATAGGGGAAAAGACTCGCATGAACAAAGGGATGAGGGATTAAAAGTGGGATAGGGTATTAAAGAGGAATCACAAGTTCAAAGTTCCAGGCGGATTTAAACGTTGGGAAGGGAGAGGGGAGAGGGGGAAAGGGGGGGGAGTGGGTGACGGGCGCGATAGGAGTGTGATGAGGAGACATACAGGGGTCACAGGCGCTCGGCAAGCTCTGTCTGGTGGAGAAACTCTAGCAGGGCACGGAAAATGCTCCATGCTTGCCGCCGGCTACCAGTGGGAAAAAGGAGACACGTGGTTGTAGCCGTTTGTACTCCTGCTTTTAGGACAGTGGCGAAGAGCACTTTCCTTGCTGCGTCGTATTCTGGGCAGATGAGGAGTATATGGGTGATGTCCTCGGGGTCCCCACACACTGTGCACTCCGGGCTGTCAACTCTGCCGGCTCGGCCGTAGCGATGAAGTGCTAGCCTCGTAAACGCACTCCCTGTCCGGAGTCGATGGAGTAGCGATGCGTCTGCCCTTGTCAGTCTGGAATCAGGGACTGGGATGGGGGGTGTGCCTCGCGCTGTAGATGGGTCTGGGTGCCGACTCCTGACATTTCTGGCAATAAGAAGTCTCGCTTCATGAAAGGGTCGGAGGTGGTAAGTAGGTGAGGGTAGAGCGTGTGCGTTCTTGGCTAGGGTGTCGGCGCGCTCATTACCCACAATTCCTGAGTGCGCCGGGACCCACTGAAATGCTAATGTCCACCCGCGTTCTTGTAGTGTCGTTGCAAGATGGGCTGTTTCTTGAGCGAGCAGTGATCCCTCGCCGGCATTAGCTAAATTGCGCAGGGCCGTGCGGGAGTCCGTTAATATTACCGCAGCGGTCATCCACTCGGTGGTCCTAAGGTATTCCAGGGCCAAGAGTATAGCGACCATTTCCGCAGTCGTGGACAATGTTTCAAGGTTTATACGGACGGCGTATTCTTTCCCAATGGATGGAATCACGTAAGCGGCGGTTGCTGTACCTGCGCTTTTATTTACGGAACCATCTGTATATATTTCAAGGCTGCTGGCGGACTTCTCCTCAAGTGCTACTGCCATAGCAGTGCGTGCGACAACTGGATGAACGTCTTTTCTCGCCCGGGCGTCGGGGAGTGATCCCTGCACGTTGAGAGGTGCTTCTGTCGAGTGGGGTGGGCGGATGGGGAACCGAGGTCCAGGGTCACCGATCTCATTAGTGAACTCTGCAGCGATTCGGCCTAAGTGTGACGAGGACCTCGAGTGGAGATTCATCAGAAGATAATCAGTAGATAGCGCTACATGAATGCGAATTAGGCGCCTTTTGCTGCTCTCCTCTCCCTTGAGGAATAGCGGTTGTTCTCTTGCCTCTACGAGAGTAGGTATATTCGGGGAGTTGGAGGGTAATCCCAAACAGAGGCGTAATGCAATTCTGTGAAACGTTTCCAGCTGGTCTCTCTGTGGACCGCGGATGTTTGCAAGAGGTAGCGAATAGAGAAACTTCGACTTTATAAGGCCTTTGTAGAGGGTGAGCAACCCGTTGGGAGGAAGGCCCTGCTGACTGTGGGCACGGAATTTTCTCAGTAGGCCTAGTAATTGCCGGCACTGCATGAGAAGTCGTTTTACTGCTGGTCGCCAACTCCCCGTCTCATCAATAAGATGCCCAAGGTAGAGGTGCGTTTTCTCTCTTGTCACCTCAGTGCCTTCAATAAGGATATGATGAGTCTGTCTTGCATGGGTAGGGTGGCTGAAAAGCAGGGTTGATTTTTGTGCGGATAGGGTCAGTCCAAGGCGCGAAATTTCTGCCACCGTTTTGTCCAGCGCTACCTGCAAAGTTTGGCCGGTGAGTTTTGCCTTATCTGTGGTTCCTACCGCCCATATTGCCACATCGTCTGCATATATTGCAATATTGACGCGCGGATCTAGAGGGTTGTCTGTTTGTGGTATGACTCCAGGAAGGGATGCCATCGCCAAGTTAAAGAGAAACGGGCTAATCACACTCCCTTGCGGTACTCCCTGTGTGACATGTCTTGGGGTACTCGTGGCATTGGGGACCTTGACGACAAATGATCGGTTTTGAAGGAAGGCGCGGATGTAGTTATAAGCCCGGCCTGATATTCCAAAATTGCTGAGTTGGTGAAGAATTGTGTCATGAGGTAAAGCATCAAATGCTTTGCGTATGTCCAAAAACACGCAGTACATCACTTGGCGGGACATCCGCTGTGCAGCGGTGTCTTCTGAATCCAGAAAGTTGACCAGGTAGAGCCTTTGTTGCGTCCAGATGCCAAGTTAGGCGCCTGAGGACTAGCCTTTCGAGAAGCTTTCCAACGCAGCTGGTCAGCGAAATTGGTCTATACGACTCGGGTGACGTGAGCGGTTTGCCAGACTTGGGTATTGGTATCACGTGCGAGAGCTTCCAGGCATCGGGAATCTCTGAAGTTTGCCACACGTGATTGAGCGCCTGAAGAAGATTAGGGTAATGACACTCGTCGATGTTGCGTAGGGCTTGATACGTGACACCGTCTGGTCCTGGAGCACTGCGGCGCGTGCATTGCACAAGGGCTGCCTTCAGCTCGTCAACTGTAAAATCCGTGTCAAAATAAATTGGAGGAGGGCCATCCGGGGGTGAGATGGTGAAGGGACGCTACCCCGCAGGTGACGGGATATTTCTAGAAAATTCGTCGGCAAGGAGCTCTGCAGTCGCCTCTAGTGTTAGCTGTAGAGAAATGGCGAGTCCAGCAGTAGGGTGTGTCGGCACTTTTTCCGCAGAGAGTGCTCTGGCTATTTTCCACGCTTTAGTGAGGCCTCCTGGGGATGCGAAAGAGGCGCATAGCTGGTTTCATTGCTTACGTTGAAGTCGTGTCGTATGTCGGCGAAGTTTCGCGTCAATCTTCCGGTGGTGCTGCCAGTCAGCTGCAATGATCGTTCGGCGAGCTTTCCGCTGGGCTCTCCTGCGAGCAGCGCGCAGGTTGAGGTATTCCAAATTTGGTGCAGGCCTTTGGATAGGCAAATTGACTGTTCTCGTTGATAGGCTGAGGGCGTTCGTGATTGCTGTGCCAAGATCGTTCATTGGTCCATGTTCCAGGGCTTTGCTGAGATGTTGGCGGAATAGATCCCAGTGTGTAACTTCGTACTTGTACTTCCTGGTTCTCGTATGAGGTGGTACTACCATGATTGGGACATGATCGCTCCCCCACGTGTCTGCCATTACTGTCCAAGAGGCTGCAATGTCCCGTGGTGCGAAGGTCAGATCTAGAACACTGCCGTGGACAGCCTGACGGACAAATGTTTCAGAGCCGTCGTTAAGGGCCTCCAGGCCAAGGGAGGTGGTAACCTCCTCAAGTGCTGACCCCCTTGGTGTGGTCCGATTATCACCCCATGTGGTATTGTGGGCGTTGAAGTCCCCGCAAAATGAAAGTCTGCCGGGACATTGACGCGCTATGTCCCTCAAGATTCTTGCGTCCCAGTCGGCTGTGGAACCCGGAGCCACGTACACAGACACCACTGTGAACTCCACCCCACGAACGCGAATCGTGGCGGCCACGTATTCTGCGCTGTGTGAGGAAAACGCAGAGAGATCGACGTGGTTATGCGAGAGTCCAGCTTTCACCAGCAGTAGCGCTCGGCTTCGTCCATTTGCTAGCGCCGGCGCACTGCTGTAAATCACGTATGGTGAGAGTCTAAAGTCCCCAGGTTGCGTTAATGGCTCTTGTATGGCAAGAACGTCCACAGGATTCAGCAAGAGATGCTGTCTGAGGTCAGGGAGACTTGTTCGAAGGCCACGAGCGTTCCACTGTAGAACTGTAGGTATGATCGGCTTGGCTTTATTCTTTACCTGTTGCCACGCTGTACGTGTATGAAGATAAATGTTGAATTGTTATTAGGAAAAGAAATATATAAGTTGGGTTCATTTTAGAATGCTGTCGACAAGTGGCTCAATGAAGGAGAGAATTTGCAGCAGTGTACGCGCCCCTGGGAACGTCATGATGGAAATAAATTCCCGTGCGGTGGAAATCGCAAGGCGAATCAAGGCGGACAGCGTTGTACTGCGTGGACCTTCAGAAGCTGTTCTGCAATGTGATGCTTCAGGAGCTAGACGTATTTGAGCAGAGGCAGTAGCAGCTGTAGGCAGCCTAGGTTCACTGCGTAGTGCCTCGGCGTAGGTGTGTGGAAGGTTTAGTTCTGGAATTGATACCAGAGCCGGGGCCGACACAGAACAGACATCGTTGGTAGGCATCTCTGTTTCCATGGAGCTCACCTTCTCTTCAGCAGGATCTTGCGATGATGGTTGTCGGTGGTCTGACGAGCGACGTCTGGAACGTCTTGGATGCCGTGGCTTGTCCGAGCAGGCAGGGTCCCCAGTTGCTGCTGGGTCTTCTTGCAGGGTTTGCTTAGATAGCCTTGCTTCCGTGACTCTTGTTGACCTCAGCTCGAGCTTCAGCAAAGGGGATGTTATTCTCGCAACTATAGCGGCAGATACTTCGCTGTTTCTGCCACTGGGAGCAACGCATTTACGTTGTTTCGTGGGATTTCTTACAGTAATGCAGCACGGGCTGGGGGCGTCGCATTTGTCAGTGGAGTGTGGCTTTGCGCACCGGAGATATTGTGCCTCTCGCTTGCACGACGCAGACACGTGGCCAAAATGACCACATTTCTTGCACTGCAGAGGGCTGTTGACATGCAGAGTGACTTGGTGTCGGACCAATCCAACATAGCCATGTTCTGGCAGCGTCGGTGATTGAAATTCAATACGAACGGTGCGCGACTTGCCAAGACGGCGCACCTCCTTTATGGGCGCGTCTGAGCGCATAGACGCAAGTAACACAGCGTCAGTAAGTTCTGGATCAACGTCGTGAATACCACCGACACTGGAGGTCTTCCCCCTTGGTTCAAAAGCTCGTACTTTTATACCGCAAAAGGGTGGTCAACTTCAAGAGCAATTGCGTGGTCTCACCGTTTCGGGTGTCAACGGCAATCACGTTTTTCCACTTGTTTGGGCGCACCTCAATGATGCAGGAAGGCGCCAGTTCCTGGAAGGTGTCCGAGAGGCGCAGTGAGTTGATGGATTCGACGCTCACTGTCGGATCGGCCGGGATAAACAGGACGACGAGACCGGTGGTCGGCTTCGACTTCGTGTCGATGTCTCTGCAACGTTTCCGTTTACCTGAGGTCACCTCCTGGTACGGCATATCGCTTGATTGCTCTTCATGAGGCAGCGCTGAAGGTATGCTGGGACCTCCGTTGATCGGGATCGTCGCTTTGATTGGAGTGGGCTGGGCACTGTCTTGTGAGACAGGCGGTCCGTTCCCCAAAACATCATTGGTCAGAAGCGCAGGAGATAGAACAGGCGGAAGGTCGCCCAGCGGAACAGGCATGGACATGCCTCACTGGGTTGAAGGCAGATGGCTAGGCCATCCAAAATCCACCCTAGAGGACTGCCGGCCTTTTCTGTTCGTATCAGTGTTATAAAACAGGCTAATAGAACAAACTGCAGATTACTTAGATTGATTCAGATCAGGAGCAGGTATCAGGACAGGATGCTAACCTCGTCGTCGTGGTCGTTCTCCAGACATACTAAGTTGTATGGTTTTACCAATATGCCGAACTACTAATGCGGGCGTTGCACGAACCTCCACAAAGGCCTGTGCTAAAGGGCGCAACAAAGTCTTAAATGTCAATAATCTTTTTTTTTTTGTTTTTTTGTGGTAATGATGAATTACGGAACAAGAGGAAACAAAAACTGAAGATCGGTTTTATGTCAACACCCATGCACAGCTGCCGCAATTGCGTCTGTATAAAGACAGTAGGCAGCTTTAGAATAAGGGGCACCCCACACTTTGCTTAATATCTTAGGGAAGAGTGCGAAAGAAAGCCAGTCAAGGCCCAGGCCGCGCGACAAAATGAAAAAAAAGAAAAAGAAAAAAGAATATATATTTTCGCAGAAATATGAATAAATCAGATTTACTTGATTTAAATTAGATTTATTTGATTTTATTCAGATTAATTTGATTTAAATCATGGTAGCTTAAAATAGTGATTTTTAATCAATAGATTTTTGTTTAAACATGACAAAGTGATTGATTAGTTCACCCAAACGCTAAAAACAGCGCGGAAGACAAAAAAAAAAAAAAATTACTGCGTGCTTAATAGTTTAATTAAGAACCATATATTAATGTAAACCCTGCCGTACATAATAGAACAAGAGCAACTTCATCTTTCGTTAGTGAAAAACGATTCATTTGCTTTTCCATCCGCTTTCTAACAAACGGAGTGGAAAGTAGAAACTTGAACCTTCCGATTTTCTCAGAAGAGCACCACTTTTTCATTAATTGAGTTCGGCTGTAAATAAGCAAGCATACGTTTCGGTAATTTGAAACCATGCTGCATTTTGTAATAAAAAAAAAAAAAACACGCAGAATTATACTGTTAATGGCACAGTCAACTCGCCTAGATTTTATTTCATGCTCGTCTTTAGGGTTTCATAACGATAGACAGAATTTCTCTTTTTTATAAAACGTTATGTTCTTTGTGTTCGTCAACAACTACAAAAAAATTAAGTTGCGAAAATATTTAGGCAAAGCATACGTAAGTTTCTAGTGAATTTGGTTACATTTAAATAGGTGATGCGATCAACGGTATTTTTTTATTATTGCACTTTGCGTCGTGAGGTATCTGCTGCACCATCAAGAAAAGCTTTTCTATGTTTCGTCCATTCAGTGCTGACCGAGTCGCCTCCCGCCTGCCAAATCGCACGTCACGCCAGCCATTAAATATAAATACATTATTATGGGCAACTTCATCGAGAAGTCAGCTGTTTTCTGAAAAAAAAAAATGTCTTTTATGTTCGAACTTCGTCTCCCGATACAGCTTGTACAAGTTTGCGTTTCATCCAGAAAAAACTTTTTTTTTTAATGTGAAAAAAAAAGAAAAGAAATCCAGGGGTTGTCGATTCTGTCTTGCTTGTGTTCCTCCCTTTTCTCAGCTTATGCGTCTCTTACATCATGATAATTCCCTATATTACTTTTCACTTTCAAATTATGAAGTAGACGACACCGTTTCTAAAGTTGCTCTCCAGAATGATTTGTTTTCTCTCGTGCAGATAGTCATTCAGCGCAAGTTGTTTTGTCGGGTGCCACGTGCAGGGGCAATGACTGTCTTTCTTATGTCTGCAGTACGAACTCGGTACCAGCCTGGAGCAGAACTTTGTCGAGCCTCTTGAGCGACGCCTGCTGAAGGTTCCAAGGACCGTGTGCAGGCAGCGATTCCTGAGGCAGCTGAACGACTGGCGGCAACTGGCGATTGAGACGGATGACTACCAGGGAACAAGGCCAATTACAGTCCCTGCTTATAAGAACTTCAGCAGCGACAGCGGTCCAAAGGGAAACGTGCTTAGTCCAAGTGTTTAACCGCACAGCCCTTCGTTTGACCAAGTGTGCGCGTCCATATAGAGCGTGGAGGCACAGATGTGGCACGCACGTTGTGCATGCCCAGTGCGGCGACCCAAGCTTGTCATTGACTGACTACGAGCTCCAGCCATTGCTGAGGTAGTATATATATCTTAGTGATGGGCCGAACTTTTGCCGAATCAAAAAATTCGGCGCCGAATCTTGGGTTTCGGCAAAGCCGAACTTTTACAAAGGTTCGGCAAAAATACATTGTTTCCAGACTGAACGTTGATATTTAGTTTCTTTGGCGAACAAAGGTTTTATGTGTTTTATTTTCCTCTTAACTTAAATACAATATGTATTGCATATTGACGTAGTTATGAATAAATAAGGTGATATTCTATCAAATGATTGTATCGTTGTCGTTAATGTGTGTTTACTAGTAATTTTACAGTGACTTCTTGCAGAAATGGCGTGACAACGAGGTTGGGTAGTAGCGAACGCAGTCACGAATCACCAACGTTGCGAATCACGCTACGAGAGTTTCATTTTTGAGACCTCAGCAGCGCAAGCCTGCAACTGTGTGTACATTGTTAAAATGAACAAAATCATTGCGTTCTTACTTTCTCTTGGAGTCACCGTTTCGTGCGTGGGAATGTTTATTTTAACGCGCTCACTTTTTTCGTTAAAATTGCTTCACGCACGACCACACCGACCAGAGCAGCACCAATAGCAGCACCAACCAAGCACCAAGGCATGGTTGGTGCTTGGTTGGCTCCGCGCCGCCGCCGATGCCGTCCCCTCTCCTCTGGTTCTTCGTTCGTCCGCGAGAGGCGGGCTGGAGGGCTGGAGTTGCGACTGCTATACACGTTTGCAAGTCCGGCTTCAGGGCGCTGCCATCTTGCCTGTCTGGGGTGCGCTTGAACCAGTCATAATCCGATTACGAAGCCTTGCTAAGGCGTCGTAATCGGATTATGGCCGCTCCCGAGAGCGCACCCCACTGAGGAAGGTGGCGGCGCCCTGAGACCGGACTTGCAAACGTGTATAGTTGCCACTTTTCCTGTGGCTCCCGCGGGCGCAAACTCCAAATTCGTTTTACCTCGTAAATATAGCTCTAAAATGTTTTCTTTTTTCTTTCGTTGGAAACTTATTTTACAACATTTTTGTTCATTCACGTTATTTTTATTTCCTTTTCATATAAAGGTTTTACGTTAGCGGTTTTGTGTATGAGGAAAAACACTTAAATTGTTGCAATTTGGCTATCAAGATCACATAAGTTTTAAGGTTTTCTTTTTTACTTAATGCATGGGGGTTGCAGAAAATAATTTTCGAAGCGCCGCTAAAGCCCCCCCCCCCCCCTTTTTTTTTCTTCGCAGAGCGTGACGTCATTTTCGGAATCTCCGTTCTCGCACATCTTCAGCGCGTACCAAAGCTTTGCACGCGCACTCTTGTCATTTTCAAAAAAAAAAAAAAAAAAAAAAAATTGCACGAATAATAAAAAAAAGGTTAAAAAAAAAGTCACGATCGGTGCGCAGCTGCAATGTATGCCCTTGTTACTTTTCAGCAATTGCCAGTCACAACTGTTCACACAGCGAGATTTGTTGAAAGAATCGACCGTCTCTTTGACATGCTAAATATCTCGCAGAAATTTGCAAAGACAGCACGTGCCTCTGCAATGTGTAGTGGCTCGATCCATGAGGAGTTTCTGAAAGAGTGCATTCTGGTTTTTTAAAGCCTGCAAGTACCCGTGTGTAGAAGGCAGCCGCCCTGCATTCTTGGCTTCTGCTTGACAGTTAGGTCATTGCTGCTGCTCATTAATCCCCTCACGGTTAATTACGGCTTTTCCTACCTTTTAACTCACCATTTGAACCAAGACACCCTTGAAAACACTTTTGCTGTTGTACGTTCAAAATCCGGTGCAAACACGAAATTCACTTCCCGTCAATTTCAGGCTGCGTTCAGGCACCTTTTGATTAGCAACCTATTCAAGCTTTCGGAAAAATCAAACTGTGCTGACGACATGATGGCTCTCCTTGCTACGTTCCCAGCAGGCATTTTGGCAGCTCTCCTCCCTTTGCCTTAAGAAGCACATTTTTTCTTACCACGGCGCAGGCGATTCACCTTCAAACTACCCTTCGGCAATAGGAGAGAACAACATGGTTTATTTTTCTGGGGTGGCTGGCATCGAAATTCATCAAGGTTCATTCCTGTGTAGGAACATCCCAGAAATGTGAGCTGAGGACAGATAATGCGTGTTTTTCTGAAGGAAATCAAGCGCTCTTATATTTTAGTGTAAAAGGCACTGCCGACACTTACTTTGGAAACCTCTCAGTTCCTTCTGCTTCTTTCAGATTATTTATTGAAGCTTGTGAGGAAGTCTTCGAGAACCATGTTTCAACAACCTAATTTCAAAGAAGAGCGTAGGGCGTACTCTTTGTGTCATTTTTTACCAGAAGATTCCCAAATCTCTGACTGTATGTGACGGAAGCGTTAATGATGATTTGTTTTCTCTGATTGCCAGAGTCAAGCTGCACTGGTTCGTGCGAAAAAAAAATGCTGAACTATTTGATACAGCAGAAAAGTGTAAAGCTAGGCAGCAAGTGCACAGGCTACGTACGTGAGACCACCCAGAGTACTTTTTAAAGCAGTGTAGGCATGTTCTGTTCGAACATTTCATTTTCTTCGGTTTCTTGAGGAGTATAATGTAGTCTTCTAACCAATTCACACATATACCGTTTAAAGCTGTGAAGCAGCACTGGCTTATAAAGTGCAGCATACCACAGGGCTTCAAGATAGTTTACTTCACTTGGCTTCCTTGACCTGCACCGAACAATCGTTGTGTTGCAGCGTAGCAGCACCAGCAGATGCAAGTTAAAATATTTTCAGCATTATGGTACCTTGCCCAAGGACTGCGTAACAAGTGTAGTTGTTTTTCTGTGTATTACAGCGGTGACAACAGTTGTCCTCGCAACACTGAAACCCCTGAGTTATTAGTGGCTGCCTATAAACTGTAATATCCTCACAACATCCAGCCGATTGTACATTATCTTATTATGTTATAATCTGCCTTATGTACCAATCTACTAGTTTTCTTTCACCATGACACTTTCCAAATAGTGAATACCGATTTATGATTCTAGTGAGTAATCTGATTGAATGATGGTAAGTGAATGAAACAAATAAAACACGACTGTTAAAGGGATACTTCAACGAAATTTGAAATATTCCCGTCGTGTTCAAAAATAGGTTAATATGATCCACAATATCTGTAAATGACAATCGCACGTTTGCATTTTGACCCTGATGGCTGTAATTTTCGTTATAAACGGCCCACTCCGGCAAGCGCTCGGAGGAGGCCCAGCAGAGACCACGTGACAGCCAACACAATCGTGACGTAGCTCGTCTCGGGACGAGCAAAGCTACGGTGAGGCTGACGTCGAGAGGATGGCCTAGTCGTTCCAGCCACCGAAGCGGCTGCTTTTGTACGAATTTTGGGTAACGTGTAAATCTTCTGTAATCTTGTAGGGGCTACTTCTGCGACACACAAAAGGCATTCCCGGAAAGAGGGGAGCTCCTCCTTCCCCTCTTCTCTCGTCGTGGCCGGAGGCGAGACACTCACCGTCACTAGCTGTCAAGGTTCCTAGATGGGCATTACAAGCGAGGCGTTAGCGACATCCACCAGGTGCTCTTTGCTAATCGTTTAATTCGTTTTAAAATTCCTTTTCGAGACTTTTTTAACAAGATATTCGTATATTCGATGTGATACTGCTCTTTTGAACATATTAGACCAAGAAATGAGCGCCGAAATTTCGTTGTAGTATCCCTTTAATGCGACGTTGGACTTGCATTAGGGTTACTGTTGTGTATTTCATACGCAACACACTCCAAAAATTTGATTCACTCTTTTTTTTTTTGTGAAATTACATCATTCGCTTTAAGGTTTCTCACATATTTCCGAGGGATCCTGAAGGAACAAAGAGCAAAACACTGCGGCTCGAGTTTAACCACAGTGCAAACATGATGGTGTGCCGAAACGAAACTACTCTCATAGCAGGTCGGCTAACAAAGTCGGCTGCAGAAAAAAAAAAAAAAAAAAAAAAAAAAAAAACATTTCGAACAAAATGTACGAGCAAGGGCAAATAAGGGCGTAAACGGTCCAGTATAAAGTAACCATCCCAAGAAAAACCTGAGACTGCAGAGAACGATACACACACTAAGAAGTATCAAACGAGGCTCCAACACGAAGCTATGTTTGAGACTTCTTAGTGTATATGGCGTTCATTTTACCTGTAGTCTCTGGAATTATTTTTGTATAATTTTCGAGCCAAACCGCACGCACGCATGACGTCACGTTTTTTTTTTTTTTTTCGGAACTGCCGTTATTTTTTTTTTTTCTTCCGCCGGAAGTGTCCTCACGACTCATAGATGACGCTAAAGCAGCCCCGTGAGCCGCCATTTTTTTTTTTTTTTTGACATGTGGGCTTTTGTGGAAGCTTCGCCGTAAAACATTTTAATAGGGAGCTTTCATGTGCGAAGCGCACATGAAGGTACCCTACGTTTTACTAGCGACGACGGCGGCGGTCCCATGGTTTCCTCTTCTTTTGCTATGCACTGAAAGAATAGAGAAGGCACTGCTACTACCTTTACTGTCGCCACACCCTTGAGATTTATGATGGCAAACATCAAAATATGCTTTCGGAACTAATTTGTGCGTGAATATAGAAATTTGTTTTTCATGTCAGCCAGATGAAATAGGCCCAGTAAATTATGCGCAAGAATTTACATGGAAAAAAAGGCCACAGGCTTTGAGATTTGGTTGCTGCATTGAAGCTTCAGGCGACATGATACAAGTCAGGCACACCTTTTAGGAAATATAATCATTTGGTCACTGAAGCTTTGAACTGCCATCGAAGTTTGTGCAAAAGATCGGAACAATGAAGTGTACGTCCGTATGTGATGTAGCGGTTAATTTGGGATAATGCAAGAATACACCTCCTTAACTGTTTAGGTTACAATCGGTTGGTGTTATGAGAAGCCTCTTTTCTGGTCTGCGACCGCGCCCAGTCTGTTGCTTCCAGGCGTCCCGTGCTTCTCCGTGGCACGCCTTTCGGCTCTCCCCTGCCGGTATCTCCGGTTGCATCCGCCGTTTTTTGGGCTCAAAAGGTCGTGTTCATACTTGGCGAACACTTACAAAATACACGGGCAGTAACTGCAAGATGATGCGAGGGATATCATTCTAAACCTTGAAGCGTTCTAAGTATTTTTTTTTCCTATTTATTATACTTTCTTCGGGTTACTTACAGTTCAAACCTGTTCTTCCCCTGTGCCCGAAATGCAGTGGTCTTTTAGCGATTTATCGGGATTCTTACGGGATCGAAGACAAACCCGTCAAGAGC